CACAACACCACACCATGGCGCCCTCGTCTCCTAAAACTTACACCATCCAATTTCTGAGTTGACAAAGCTAAAAGACATTCTGAACAGCGGTATTGTTAGCACAAATATATTCAAATAGAAACGAGTGCTCATTAATCAAAACTGTGTCATTAAAGGACTTTTGCTATCGAAATTGTTTGTGTCCTTTTAAAAGGAGAAATATTGGTGTCTGTGTACAATTGATTGTCAGCCTCATTGAGATGATATTAATTTGTTATCAAATCATGGTAATCATCTCTGTAGTTGCTGCTCTTTTCATGAGCCAGCATTTTTCAGCTTTCTTTATGTCTTTTACTTAAACTTTCCTTGGTGTTGATTCCAGTGTACGTATAAACTCACAAGCTTTCAGAGTTCGTATACGTTCTCATTTCTGCATCACCAAATACATTTACAGTAGCTAAACTGTAAAAAGATCTCTCTGGATTGGTTTTTAATTTCAAAGTTGTTTTTTGGACTAGATGACACTGTTTGCACTTAGTTTCTGAATGTTTGCTAAGGTGTTGTCAGTTCACTTAAAATGACCTTGGTTAAAACAGATCTAGTAAATCATTGTCAGAACCTGTCAGTTCCCAGCATATCTTCACCAAGAACCAGTTATTTTCAGTTAATAGTTTGTAGTAAAAAGAGCAACATCGTCACAAACACTATCAATAACACTTTACACTTTGTAGTATTATGGAATATTTTCTCATGTTGAACTGGGTTACTTTTATCAAACTGTTTGCAGCGTTGCCAAAATGTTTATTTCACATTGCAGCTTCTGAAATATGCACAGCAGGTAAGTACTTATTGAACATGTCAACAATTGTGTAAGTAAATATATTTCTAAAAGTCCTCTTGACATGAAATTCTCACCAGATGTTGGTAACAGCCCATCCAATCCACACATGCAAATTAATCAAAGAATAGATGTTCATGAATTAAGTTTTGTGTAATAGTGAGAAATGACACAGGAACAAAAGTATTGAACGCACTTATTGAAATTAACTTTGTACAAGGTCGTCTTTGTTGGTGACAGCTTGAAGACGCCTCCCGCATATAGACTAGTGGCATGCGTTGCTCAGGTGTGATTTTTGTCCATTCTTCCTCACAGTCGTGAAATCCTGAAGGTTGTGTGGGTCCCTCCTACAAACTCTGAGCTTTACTTCTTTTCAAACCCATCTGGCATACCTTTTCATCATGACCTTCAGACTGCCCACTGGAATCATCAGGGGCATCATTAAAAACTTGCCATCTAACAAGAATGGGGGAAACATTCTGTTGAACTCTGTATTTCCCAAATACTCACAGTGTTTCCTACAGAAACACAAGTTTTCTCTTTTCATTGCAAACATGGTTGTACAACATATCATCCTGAACTCACTCGCACAGGTCGACATGGTCACAAGTTACGTCTACCTTTGCTCTTTTTGTCACTTGGTAGTGGGGCATGAACCCAGTGATTCTTGATTACTGGCATTATTACAAAAGCTGAGCGGAAGAGATAACCAAACTCAGACTGGAAGTTGTATTTAATCAGCCAAACTATTCTCATCAGTGGGCCGTGCTTTGATAGTGCCTCAGGGCAAATGTCGCAAGCTTCTATTGTCTTCCATTCCTCATTCTACGTGTGCATTTAGGAGAAATTCCTGATAGATGTCTACATTGCAGAAATTAATCCTAATAAACTGCAAACCTGCCACATTTGGTATGATGTTTGAGTTTAATTCTTCCCTCAGTGTTCTTTCTGTTCCCTTGTGCCAAGTCTCCTGTATTAAGTTCATCCATTATTTAGTTGTTGCACCTTCTGCTTTATTTCTAAAAGAGTTAGCCTTCCCTTTGATTTGCTTTTAGTGTTTGCTTCCCTTGTCTCGTTGTCTGTATATATAGTTGCTGTCTCCCCTTGTTCTTTAGATCATTTTAGTGAGTCTCCAAGTTTTAGGTTTCCCTTTTTGTGTTGCTCGCCTAAATAAACAGCTTGTTTTCAGTTCAATGCTGTAAGTTTTCATGCTTCTGCTTTTGGATCCTCAGAGTGGTCAGTTGGATCTACTGACCTTAGAAGGTGAACCTTTGGGATTAGTTGTTCAGCTTCCAGGCCTCTCTTATGTGGATCCAGCTCTCACTTTGGATTTGGGAGAGAGGCATCCTCTCTACTTTTAAATTTAGCCATAAAACTTTCCTTTTTGATAAAGGACTGGATCAGGTGACCCTGAATTCTCCCTTAGTTACACTGCGATAGGCCTAGGCTGCTGGGAGATTCCCACATTGCACTGTTTGTTCTTCACTCACCTTTTTCTACTTTCTATGTTTTTACACACCAATCTGCATTTAATTATTAGTCATTATTAATCCCGGACTCTTTTCCATAGTGCATCTTGTTCTGTCTTCCACCCCTCACCTCATATGATTGTTGGGGTTTTCTGTTTTCTTTGTATTAAATTAAATTAAACATGTTAATATGAAGACGAACTCCCAGTCTAGTGCTTTCAGCGATGACAGATGTGAGAGTGAGTGTCTTGTTTTTATTTAAAGAAGATTTCTCAGTGTCTGATCTACACGATGCATGTTTGTGAAAGTGAATCATGGCATGAACAAAGGTTATTTCTGAGTTGCTGATCTTCACCATAAAGCAGCGGTCCCCAACCCCCGGGCCACGGGCCGGTGCCGATCCGTGTGTCGTTTGGTACCGGGCCGCGAGAGTTGAAGCTCGGGTGTGAAGTTTAGCGGTTTTAAGGGTTCTTATCATTAACTCGGTTTCCCTGGGTCTTTTCCTGTGTTTTAGTTGTGTGTCTTATTTTGAAAGAAATATTTATGCGTTACCATAGTGACCAGAGAGCATTAAGGGACATTTAAGAAGTACGCTGCCAATAAAGTTACACAATTACACAATGAATTTGCGTTTATTATTATATTTACAAAATACACAGTTTTTGTCTTGGTCGTATCATTTTATTTTTTTGTATTTATCCGCGACACCTTAAAGGCCGGTCTGTGAAAATATCGTCTGACATTAAATTGGTCCGTGGCGCAAAAAAGGTTGGGGACCGCTGCCATAAAGGGTTATAGAAGCATCTCGTAGGACTTGGGTCACTTAAGACTTACCCAATCCAGAGGAAAGTGAAGTATGCTGACTCTTCTGTGGTCATTTTTTAAAATTTAGGAATTTTACCTTTGAGGGAGGGAAGTATGTTAAACTCTGGGATGAGCAGATTTATCTGGGTTTAATCTTCACAGCACGTTTTGGTCAGAAGTGCATTATGGCACAAAAACACAAGACTCCTGAAAACTTCACACTTTAGCATTTTTGATTCTCATCAGGCTGGAAAAGGTCACAAGGTTAACACATTTGGACTACACCAATATACAGTCAGGTTGCATAGATAATAGAGGAAGTTTTTTCAAACTTCCTTGTCAACCACTTCCCAAGAAAGACTAGGGAGTCAACCACTCCTAGGGAGTCAACTAATACCCAGGATTTTTGGGGGGGTAAGTGGTTGACCAAGAACGTTCACTCAAACTGTAAGGAGTGTTGCAGTTCAGGAGGTCACAAACATTCATTACCAACGTCAGGCCATTTGGAAATATAGCAACATTTTCATAACAAAAATGTCAGCACATTTTGTATCTCAATATAAGAGGAAGTGAGTCTTGCACCTTACATAACACATGTTGTTTTTCTACCAAGGAAAGGTCAAATAGTCACAGTCAGGTTAATGTTTTGGATTGACCCAGTCATTTGGTTCACCATGATCCATGAAATGTTGGTGATGAACCTGATGCATAGTTCATATGAAGAATCCCACCAAAGTACGCAGGAACAGAGTCAGTTTCTCCAAGAGGTCATCTGCCTTTGCAGTTCAATAAAGATCAAGCCAGAAGACTGTTAGAACAATGTCTTGTGGAGGGATGAGAGCAAAATCTGACTTTTAACTTCAAATGAGTTGAGAGAAAGGAAAGCATTTCATTCCAGCATTACGGTGCCAGGTTAGGCCGGATGTCTTACTGTTATTGATGGAACAATAAATCCTGCATTCCACCACAAATGTAATTTTAAAAAATCACATCATCTGTCATTTCAGCATAGACCAGAGACACACCTCAATGCTTCACCCTGCACCTTCACCGTGTTGGTGGTCATAAAAGTAGCTCCAACTGAACCTACAGGCGTTTCTGCTTTAGAAACAAATGCGTAAAATCCATTACACAGAATCTTGTTTTTTTTTGTTTTTTTTGAAAGGCCAAGTCAACGTCCTGAACTTCCAATTCAAATGTTGGGGAAGGATCTGAAAGCGACCAGTTCATATGAGGAAACCGAGCCCAGAGTTACACTTAAATGTGTAATTGCAGAAACACATGAATGAGAGGAGCCTATAGAGCGTTTGCAGCGCTAATCTCGGAAAAGCAAAATGTGTCTGATTGCAAAAGCTCCCTGACAAGACAGGGTGGAAAAAAAGAAAAAAATATCATTTTAATTATGTTTGCAAATGCAAAAATAAAGCAAAGGTTCCTCTATTTTCTTTACTTGCACATATGCATTACTCATTTCCTCAAACAAAGATGATGACGTTTGTATGTTTATCTATTTAGGTTTAATAAGTTTATCTTTTATCTTCGGGAGGGGGGGTTGTAAGCTAAGAGTGGAAATTGAGAAAAATCCAAAGCAATTCACAGACTTTGAGGCATTGTATGTGATTAAAAGTTCTCGTACTGGTACTTTGAACGTGATTGATTTTTATTTGAGCTTTAGCGCAATGTTTGTTTGAGACAAATAAAAATGTCTAAATAAATCAGACAATAAGGTCTCTCCTTTTTGGCAAGGAATTTAATTTAAAGACACGGTTGCTTATTTGTTATTATTTGTGTGCACAGTTGGCTGTGTTTAACTTTTGCCATTTACAGCAAATTAAGTCATTTATTTATTCCGCCTCTTCTGGGAAGTCATCACTACCCCTGGACATTGATCAGTCAGAGTCTTATAAAAGGCCCGCTGACTGCTGCTGACAGCAGAGGAAGGTTTTGGAAGGAAAAACCATGGCTGGTGGTTCTCAATTCATTTGGATTCCGCTCCTCTTCACCTGTGTACTCTGCACTTCTGATCCCAGAGCTGGTAGGGGGAAATAATATCGTCCTTTTTATTGTCAGTTAATAGGGGTTGAATTAAACAAATACCTGTAACAACAACAAAAAAGTAAATATTTATGTTTTCTCGTTTATTTCAGGCCACAACAGGTTGGTCAGAACTGGGAATCCCGACTTGGACGCAATCCTTTCCAGGATCCTTGTAAGTCCCAGAAAATGTGACTTAGCAAATGTTTAGAGATGAGCAGAAGTTTGGCTGCTACTACTAATGATACATTTCTTCTTGTGCATTTACCTTAGCTATCCACTGACTTTCAAAACAGCCCTGTAAATGTGACGGTAAGTAGTAATTATTAAATAGTTATTACATCATGTGATTTATCTCTATAAATATTGTGATCAATAAAAGTTTTAGTATATCTGTATCTCCCACTGAGCATAAGATCTCTGTGCTCAGTAGCTTCTTTCAAAAAACAACTAAAAACACATCTTTTTAGAATTGCTGTTTGTTAACTGTTGTCTGTTTTGTTTTATGCTTTGTTATCCTTGTGTGAAGCACTTTGTGATCTTTTATCTAGAAAGATGCTATAAAAATAAAGTTTTACTTACTTACTTACTTACGATAGATATAAGAAACTTGTTATATTATCTTCATCTGATCTAAGATCAAATGTTTTATTACAGTCAATTGTCATCAAAACTTGCACCGGTAAGTGATTTTTATTTATTTTTTACATCTATTTTATTTAACAATACACTACAATCCAAAAACATGTTCCCAGTAAGCTGCTTCTGCTAATCTGGAATGTTTTATTCACTCATCCAAGCGACGTCCAAATCACTCGGATAAGTGATGTAAAAAATGTTTCCCACTGAATATGCTGCATCCACATGAACAGAACCAAGTTTCTGGGATTTAATAACTGGATTATTGAGCGTGCATTGCACAGATTCAAAATGTGATGCCAGTATTTAGCTGAGCGAGTGTCTTAGTGTTGTCTCTACATTATTAGTCAGATAAATAAAGATTTGAAAAACTAAATCTAAAATCTTACATTTAAATGTTTACCTCCTGTCACATTTGACCTCTAACCCCAACTTTAAGGTCAATAGATTGACTTGATAATATTCCTATATAGAGCTCTTTAAAACTAGGTTTCTTACTACTTTCTATAGGCGTGTAGGAAATGATATTTGTGTTTGATTCAATCAATCAATACATACATATTTATTACATTAAACATGGTCAAAGTAAGAAAAAAAAAAAGAGGTCAGCTTATAGAGAAGTTATTTCAAATGAGCCAAAAACTTCAGACTGCTCTAAGCCCTCTGTTTTAGCCAGTTGCCCACATTTGGCCTTCTCAGGTGGAGCTCTGGCTGTGAGCAGACATGCGCTACTTACCTTCTGTTCAAATCTTCTGTTTGCAAAGCGCAGCCAGTCAGAAGAAATTAGTCTTAAAGAGACAGGAGGGGAGGAGCTGAAATACTTAGTTTCAAACAGTGGGTGAGCAGTGAGACTGTTTATCTTGCTGCTTTAATATGTGGCATTGCTAACAGTGGCAGGGTGGGGTTTGTGGCTCAGCTGCAGGGGAGGGGTGGAGCAGTGGGTTCAGGTTACGGTGTCAGGGGAGGCTGACACACACCTGAGCTCCATCATCTGATCATGTCTCCCCTATAAAAGATGGTGGGGTGTTGTGTGTGGGTGGCAGCTGCAAAGCTGGGACAGTGTTGGTGAAAAGTACCGAACAATTAAGGTGAAAGCTGTGTGTGTGGGTCCTCATTCGTGTCACCCTAACATTTCCTTATCAGGTGTGAAAGAAACTTTGGAGGTGTTACAAAGGAAACTTCAGCAGGCGAATCACCGTTACAACCAACTCGGTGAGCATACATCCAGCGAAGAGTTTAAGTAGGCCTACTTTTGCTTTGGTTTGTTGCAACCTGTACACTTTCTTACAGGTGACGAGGCCTTTGGGCTGAGGACAGAGGTCATACAGCTGAAAGTGGAACTTGCTGCATGCATGTCAACAGCATCGTCTACATCTGGCAGTAAGCCTTTCCTTGCACATATGTAACAGTTGGAAACAATTTATATCAGCAAAAGTTAAAATGCATGTGTGATTTCCTGACAGCGTACCAACCCAATCTGCAGCTCAAAATGAAGCAGGTGCTGGAGAAGCTTGATGGTGACACACTTCTCCGTAAGTTTTTTGGAAATACAGTAAAATCTCTCGCACAGGTCACGATTTAATCATAATTAATTAAATTTTAATCATATGACGCTGCACAGTTCAGCTTTTATGTAAAAGTGTTTTCTTTCTTTCAGTTTTTAAAATAATGACACTCACCGGGGAGGTGAGCACTTTGCAGGAGAAGACCAAGCTTGCTACTAATTCTAACAGAACTGCAGACGAAATCGCAGGTGAGCTATTTTATCGTTAGCATGATGTGCTTATCTTGCAGTACTGAGAAATGTTTGAATTTGCCTCCACTTGAGTGCTATTCTTCTGGTTGGAGCCACAGAAACTGAATGAAGATGTTTCATTTCTAAACTGGTTTCCTGCAGAGCTGCAGAAAGAGCTGGACAAGACGACGGCTGAACTCAAAGATCAGATACAGGAAGCTGAAGAAAGCCTTTCAAATGCAACTCTCAGTAAGTGTATTTTTGAACCACATTTGAGGAACGGAAGGTCAACCGAAGGCGCTGGTGTTGTGCGAATGCATATATAAGCAGAAGGAAATGGCTCATTGCTTTCTTTTTTTTTTTCTCTTCTTTTAGTACTTCAGATAATCTCCCTGCAGAATCAGCTCTGGGATTTACAAGAGGCAGAAACAAGAGGGGGAAAACCAAACTCTGGGAGTTCAATTGGCATGACTCTGGGTAAACTGCGGGCTCTTTGATTTAACTAAAAAAACTTTTGCTTATTATGTGAAAATTGCTTGTCCACAGTTCAGGCAGAAAAATTGACACATTGTTCAGTAACTATACCATTCCTTGGTGGCTAATTTTTTAAACTTCATTTCACATTCTCTATTAGTGCTGCTAACAACAGCTTAGTATTTTGTCTAAATAAATTGCAATTAAAACGTAAAAGTTCTTACCCTTTAAATGTCAGTTATTCATGAAAAAGTGTTTGTCTTCATATAACATCAGACATGTTGTAAATAACAAAGAGCATATTCCAGTACAATAATAGCAAGAAAACCCCAACAATCAAATAACCCCTTATGAGCAAGCACTTGGCGATAGTGGGAAGAAAAAACTCCCTTTTAATAGAACCAGGCTCAGGAAGGGGCAGCCGTCTGCCGTGACTGGTTGGAGATGGGTCCATAGATTAATAATAACTCGTCATTAAATGCAAAGTAGTGTATAAACACAAAGAATTTAAAAAAAAAACATGAGTGAAGGTAGGCCCATTGCAGTATAACAGCAGGAAGGTTCAGGCTAACATTTGTTAGACAACAAGAGGCCTTGGGTACAGAGTTGAAGGTGAGCAACTTTATTTGGCCTTGTAGCAAGTGGTCACCCAGTCAACTACACTAAACTAAAGCAGCACCTGAAACTATGCTTTTTAATGCTGTAATGTAGCTACTGTAGCGAGTGGCACTGTGGTTACCCATATGGAAAAGATATATATAAATCTTATAAAGTTTGTATCTGTCTTGTGTGAAACTTGTATGAAAAGCATATAAGTGTGAAAACAGATATAAGATCCCTTGAAAAATTATATAAATGAAACTTGTATGTTTTGGATACTTACTAAAACAATGTATGAAAGTAATGCGAAAGTGGCCACTTTCATGAGTAAATCATGTAAGCCTTATATGATTTACTCATGAAAGTGGCCACTTTCATGAGTAATCACATATAAGTTTTTACTATTTCTTTTCCGTGTGGTTAGTGGCTAATACATTTACCCCCACGCAAAAGATCCAGGAGAGGATATAAACCTCGCATTATGGGGTTACAACGTAGAGTATTTCTAGTACTAGCTCCAAGTTGAGATAAAGGGTTGTGTCTGGTATCTGTAGTAATTCAAACATATTGATCTGGAGCTGATGGCTACCTCTTTGGAAAAAAAGATGCAGCAGAAGTGTCATCAATGTGGCAATCTCTGGGAGTCGGTTCATTTTTGAAGCCACAGCTCAAGTGTGGCTTTTTTCCTGTGGTACCATTTTAACTCCTAAATATGCATAGCTGTGCACTGTGGTCTCCCACTTCCTTCTTTCTTGGTCACAGTCGGTTTCTGCGTGAAGGTTGCATAACACACTGTTATATGAAATCCATTTAGTTTTTTGGTAACTTTTTGGTTGCTCAGGACAAAATGGAGCAAAGAAGTGATGGTTGCTGAAATTGATCTAATGCATGGCTGCATATTCCGTAAAAAAAAAAAAAGAATCTTAAGGAATTTACAATAGGTGTTATGAAATATTTAATAATTATTTAGATTTCAGATTAATATAATGCTAAACTGGGAGAAAAGGTCATCTTCTTTCATTTTATTATGTTATTATATTTCTGTATCCTGACCATTTTCTTCTGCTGCTCAGTGAAAGAACAGCTCAACAGGAAGATCGTTCTGCTGCAAGAAAAAGGAGGTGGCTACTCTGCTAATTGTAAGTGAATCTTTCTAAACAGGCCTGCATTTCTTGTGTGAGTAATAACGTTAAAGGCTTGTCTTTCAACATTTCCCAACACTTCGTTCTCTGCTGGCTGTCCAGTGCTGGAGCTGATTTATGTGCGCACGAAGATTGCAGAGTTGAAGAGGATGATCATCGATGCTATTGAGAAATCCAAAACCTTCGCCGCTGGTGAGTTGTAGATCCCGTCTCTCCTTTGTGGAGCAGCACACGTTTATTCTTTTTTTTACTTTATTTATTTAATTTTTTTAAATTCAGATGCCAGGAAGCAATGGATGCAAAAGATTGATCTCCTCAGAAAGCTGATTATACAGCTGAACGATGACGAGAACAACAGGGAACTAAGTAAGTGAACATTCAGCGTCGAGCACGTCCTTTGTGTAGTTATTGCGCCATCAACTCGACACCCTCTTGATTCTTTCGACAGCCTTGCAAATTATGAGAGTGCAGGCCGAGGTGCTACATTTTCAACAGCTGATGAGAAACGCCAAAAACATCACTGATTCCCAAATTCAAGGTAAATGGCAGCACAAATCTTTGAAACTTTACACTACGAAGTCAAGTCACATATGTACTTGTCTTATTTGGAACTACCAAATTATGATCTGCTAATTGCAGTAGAAACATTAATAGCTGTTTATTCATCCTAGGGTTCCGCGTTTTGTTGGACAGAGAGAAGCAAAGGCATGACGTTTTACAGAGGCAACTGGAAGCAGTGGAGTATGTTAAGGCACAGCAGAGTAAGTATAAAGGAGAGGCGGAATGATCACCTCACCAACCTCACCACGTATAAATGTGCTGCTAAGGCCCAACACTCAAGACAATGGTGTTTTCTTTGTCTTTGAACAGTCGTGCAAGTCATCAGCCTAATAGAAGAAATGAAAAAGCAGCACCTGACAGGCCAGCCCACCAGTAAGTCCACCTGCACTAACTTTAGTGTTAAATTCAGAAAAACATTTAACATCATTTGTTTTCTGAGCAGAGAATACTTTCTTAATCCTTGACATTAAGATTGCGATCTTACATTATGATACTTTAAATCTGCAGCTGTGCGTGGAGTTACAGAAAAAAAATACATCGAAGCGCAGGCCAAAATAAGAGGTGAGTGCTCGGTGTGTAGTTTGTTTTTTGTTTTGTTTTTTTAGAAATTTTGAAAACTGTCTGATAAGAGCTTCAAGTACCTGATTTTATCCTTTTATACAAAAGAGCTGCAGAGGAAACTGCGACTGAAGACTGAATTAGATTCCAAATTTGTGAAAAGATATGAGCGTAAGTTTTTAAAATGGCTTTCAGCTACAACCTCTGATTATTCCTGCTTGATTTTAAAGCATGTGTCTCGTTTCTGTTAGAGGTGAAGATCGACTTTGACCGCAAGATTGCTGAACTGAAGAGAACCGAGGACTTCCAACCAGCTCTCAGTGAGTCACGTTGCCGTACGCAGTGTCCAGCGGTGTCTCTCGCTCGGCTTGTAATCTCGTTGTGTTGAATTTGTAATCTGTGTAGTGATGTTTCTGTTGCTTTCTGCTCCAGTTGTAAAGCTGATGAGCCTGCATGATGAACTCAAGGCTTTGAAGGATCAGATCTCTCTCTCAGAAGACAAAGACTTGACCTCCGGTGAGGGACAGAGGCCACAGATATATACCATACCTTTGTTTTTATTCTATTAATTAAGTGGATTTTTTTTAAAGCAATTTTTAAACAGTTTTGCGCTTGAGACAATTAAATTACATCTTTACATTTTCCTTGGGAAAACTGGGAATTTCTTAACATCTCTTAATAACCCCTATTTCTGTCCAACAGAGCTACGGAAACAACTGGAGAGAAAACAAGAAGAACTGAGCTCAGGAATTGCAGACATAGAACGTCTGACTTCTAGCCCAGGAGCAAGTGAGTTTCTTGACTTTACTTTATGTGAACCAGAATTATTGTTTGAACGCTAACCATTGTTTTTAAGCTAAACTCAAACTGACATTCACAGTTATGTACATAAAGTGCATATTAAAAAGGGACATAACATCCAGTTTTAAAGGGAAAACTAGTGTGGAAGAACCTTAAACTGCTTCCTTTCTAGTGGCCAGCAGAGTTAAGGATTGTAAAGTATAATCATTTAATGTGAAGCTGCTAATAAACGGCTGAAATGCACGACGACTTTCTGATCCTTGTTTTAGACAAATCCACCAATAGTCGCCCTGCTAGGTCCTTGTGCTTTCAGCTGTCGTGCTATTAAATCACAAGCTAGTCAAACACAAACTGAATACAGATGAGACCTGGACTGTCACATATCATGGCTTTTATGGTTAAATCTAACTCAGGTCACATGTAAACCTGCAAAAACCAAGATTAAAGAAAATGAATTAACAGCAGAGTGAAAGAATAATGTTGTGAGAGGCTTTGCTTGATATGCTGGATGTTTTGGGGGTTTATGTTTTATCAATCATTAGTTCAAAAGAGTGTAAAGTAGAGACTTGTTGGAGTGGCACAGGGAAAGAAGGGAACCAATGAGATTCTGAGTTGCTTACAAAAAGCAAAAAATTGGTAGACATTGTTGCAGTAAGATTCATTTTCTAACTTAAAGACTGCACGTTGCTTTGCTTTAGTTTTAAAGATCCTTGAACTGCAACATGAGTTATGGACCCTTCGGAACAAAGCCACCAATGGAGCCACAAGCGATCGAGAAGAGGGTTAGTGTTGTTTAAAGTCAAGATAGAACCTGCAAAATATAATCTAAATACATACTTTCCTTTTCCTCAGACTTACAGGACAGACTTGACGGCTTCATCGATGAAATCAACAACAGAGCCGGTGAAAACACAAAACTGAGTGAGTCTTGTGAGAAACTCTAAAACTCTCTGCAGTCGTATCTTTTGCAGTCAGCTACATTTTTTTTTAACCTTTTTTTCAGTTCTGAAAATCATCAGTCTGCAAAGTCAGCTGGAGCACCTGGAGACGCTGCTGTCACAAACCTACAATTCAAACTGTAAGTATCTCACCCAAGACCTCATGTTAGCATAGAGTGTCATAATGTTACTGTAGCAACTTGACATGTGTGTCACTTTCAGCTCCAAGCATGGTGATCATAAGGAACACTCTAACAGATAAGCTTACACTGAAGAGAGCCGAGCTACAGAAATATATCAATGAGCTGAATAACAAGAATCCGGCTAATGCCAGATTAAGTAAGTCCAGAAAAACACTTGGATCAATCTTGATTGTTGTGAAGTAGCCTAAAACATAATTCTGTACACCCTGACTTTTGTATTTTCTGTAGTTCTGGTTATCGCTGAACTCTACAAACATCTCAAAAGAATTGAAATAGAAAATCGTGACGATAACGCAGAATCCTCTTTAACATTAACTCGTAAGTATGTCCTACAATCACTGTATCACTTCAAGCGAAATGGGCTTTCATAGAGCGAACGGAACAACATTCATGCCACATGCCTGAGATCGAAAGCTGTTTGCTGCAGGATGTTCATGTTGCTAATTTGCACCATAGTGTTTCAGTCCATTTCTTTTCTTTTAAAGTCCTTCAGATGTTTCTTCAAAACAAAAACAGGGAATATGCTCTTATGAAGGATAAATTCGCAGGTGAGTTGATTTTGTTTTTCTGAATAGATCCATAACTAACAGTTTGTGTCAGAGACAGTTTTTGTTAACTTGGATTTCCTTTTTCACTGAGCAGAGTTGGAGAGGCAACTGCTGTTAAAGACACATGAGTGCTCTGGACTCGAGCAACAACGAAACCGTAAGTTGCGAATCTGACTTTGACATCAGAGTGTCTGAGACTGAGTTTTGATGTGACTGATTTATTTTTTGTCAGAGCTGAAGACTGAAGTTGAAGATAAGATTGCAGAACTGAACAAGACAAAAGACTTCAAAACTGCTCTGCGTGAGTGCGGTGCAGTTAAAGTCTCTCTTTTTTTTTTTGCTCACATCCTCACATTATATTTCAGAACTAATCTGTGCCGTCATATCTGCTCACGTTTGTCTCTGTTAGTCCTGAATGTGATCAACATGAAGGCTGAAGTGAGGGCTTTGAAGGAGCAGATCTCAAACTCAAAAGATCCAGAAATCATCTCACGTGAGTATCAGCTGTCATAGTCAGCACACTTCCTGGAGGAAAAATGTGAAACAAATATGACCTCAAGTCATATATCTGTTTCTCTCTGATTCCCCACAGAGCTGCAGATGCAACTGGAGAAGAAGCAAGATGAACTGATTACTAAGACTGCAGAAATGGAGGAATTGCTTGCCAACCCGAGAGTGGGTGAGTGCACTGCTGTACTCTGTGATCAACACTGTTTAAACAGTCTGACAACCCGCTGCCTATTATTGCAATACTAAGCCTCTGGGGGCAATTGACAACATTTGGGGGCCAGGATTTCCTGCTCTGTGCGTTCTGTGCAGTGGATACTTTTCACATGGGGACCTTCTCTACTTGGAAAAGGCCTATAAATCAGTTAGCTTAATGTCTGCATGGTGTTAAAGAACAAATGATCTTGATGGGTGTAACTTTGCATAATTTTAGAAGAAGCTAAGATTTGTAAAATCACCATCATACTGGGAAAAGAATGTGTTTCTGTCATGTTTTTGCAATTTGGTTGCACTGACACACATTTCCATTTAAAATATCCCTCTAAATGACACAACCAAACCTTACCTGTCATTCATCAGATGTTTGTTTGTTTCAGTTTTACAAATCATTGAGCTCCAGAATGAGATATGGGACCTGCAGAACAAGGATGTGAATGGGACAGCTGGTGACCAGATAAAAGGTACTTTAAGGTTTAAGGTGCTGATTGAGGGTGACACAAAGTCATAGTAGATGACTAAATGTTATTAATACAATTCACTGTTTTTTGCAGCGCTACAAAACAGAATAGACACACTCATGGCTCAAATAGGCAGCAGTGATCGAGATAACACCAAACTGAGTGAGTATGAAGTAACTGTGAGCACAAAGGTTCACTGACAAGTTGAATTTTCTTTCTTTTTACCTTTTTCCCTCTCATGAAGTAATTCTCTCACAGCATGTCTTATAGCAAACTACTCTTTTTGCTTCTTTGTGCTTTAGCACTGAAAATCCTGAATCTGCAGAGTCAGGTGAAGCACCTGCAGAATCTGCTGTCAAACCGCGAATCTCAACAAACCAGTGAGCTAACTGGTAAGTATCTCCCATTGTGCTTTTCCTCTAGTGATAAGAGTGTGACAAATACAAGTGAGCAGGCAGAAGCACAGAGGAGTCAGATGTGGGGCAAGTGAGAGTTTTAGTTTTCCCCATCCTTGTAGAAAAAACAAAATAAGTGTGAGAGATAAAGAAACTTGGTAGCTTTTGTAATTCACAGTACAAAACGTGAACGATGATCTCTCGTGTCTGACCAATAAACCTGTTTTAACTTCTTTAAAATGACCTCAGAGATCACAAATGAGCTTGCAGCCAAGAAGGGAGAGCTGGAGAAACATGTCAATGAGCTGAAACAGAAGAACCAGGAAAATGCCAACCTGAGTAAGTCAAGAAAGACTGCAGTGTCTGCAGAAATGATGAAGGAAAAAAGTTCTGCTTTGATTCTTTCTTCCTCTGTTCCTCAGTTTTGAACATCACTGATCTGCAAAGCCAACTTGAAAACCTTGAAAAAGTTAAGACAGCTGAGGATAAAGAAAGTGCTGCTACAATTTCTAGTAAGTATTTTTCTTTTGATCTCTAAAAGCAAGTATCACCTCTGATACCTTCTTCACCTGAAGCTAACTTTACATTTTGTTAGATCTCAGAAAACAACTGAAGGTTAAAGAGTTGGAGCATTCTCGTGATCAGGAAGTGATCCTCGGTAAGTTCATCCGTGGCATGTTTAAGTTTCTGCAACAAGAAGGATTAAGTTGATTTTAAGATGCTTGCAAGTTTCAGCCGGTCTCCGCAGATTGCTGCCCCTCCCTGGTTCTGCCAGAGATTTGTTCCTGTTAAAAGGGAGTTTTTCCTTCCCTCTGTCACCAAAGCACAGCGCCTTGAGGCAACTGTTGTTGTGATTTGGCACTGTATAAATAAAAGTGAACTGAACTGAATTATTGGAGAAACCTGGAATTAATAGTTTTACAAACTCATAGTCAAAACCCACTGAAAGCCAACAAAATATAACAATATGAGCTTTCATGCTGACCTGTATCAAAAAATAATGCCTAGACTATTGCTTAGTAATGTAACCTTTCTCTTAGACTTGCAGGAAAAACTGAACGAGACAGAAAGATGTTCAGATGATAAGCAGAAAATTACAGGTGAGTGTAATCTTTGACTTGCTGTTCTTGCTAAATACAGAAAACTGTTGTCTGTGATCAGCACCCATAATAAATGTCTCTGTGCAGATCTGCAGCAAAACCTGAATGACAAAATCAAGGAGCTGCAGTCCAAATCGAGCTCTGTTACTTCACTTGGTGAGTGTTGAATCTCTGAATAAAAAACTTTCTAAGCTGTCAAATTCATCATAATATATTCATTTTTTTTCCTATGATATTGATTTAAAAGTGAAGATTTTAGAAGCTGTAAATCATATTTTACTTAACTTTTTATCACCTTCAACAAAAAAGGTTTAATTCATGATGATGCAATTTTGTAGTTATTAGGGGAACGCCTGAGTCACTCATGGTCAAGCAAGAGCTGCAAATGTACTGCATTATTTATTATAATTACTACTACATGGCATGCCCACGCTACAGTAGTGCCACTGTAGTGTTTGGCCTATTTGTGCAGCTGGCTGATTGATATACTTAATCACATTGGGGGTTGGGGTAATCTCACAAGGTCCTAGGTGGTTGGTAGGCATGTGTAATTCAACTTTGTGAATATAAATAAAACTAGCTGCCTCATAATAAGATAATATCCAAATAAAAGGAGGTGCATGTAGGTGCATAAAGGCAAAAAATGTCATTTTTAGCCACTTGCTAGGTTTTTGCAATAGGATGGTGTCAATCAGACTTTTTGAATTTAAACTAGATGTTAATGTTGTGCAATAAAAATACATTTATGTTTTTATAGGAGCATAATTGATAAGAAAAGGAACTTTTTAGCCCTTTACTGGGTGGTTGCTATGTGATATGATGACATCATACTATCTGAATATTAAAATATCTGAATATATCTTAATATGTCAAAAAAAATATATTGCCATGATTTCTTTCTCCACATTCTCAATGTTTTACTATTCGCAGATGTTGTGCACATTTTCATGTGTCTTAGATGAGAACAGTGAACGCTGATGTTTATTCTGACTGATTCTTTCAGCTCTACAAATTTCTACATTAACTCAGCAAGTGGAGCAACTGAAAGCACAAATGAACAACTCTGTGTCCAAATCCAAGGTTGATGGTGAGTGTGTTTCATTGTCAAGTCAAGTAAGCAGCGCTACTGGGGTCCAGTATTCACATGGTGTACATTAAAGGGTTGTTGTACAGCTTTAATATTAGCTAAATAAATATTTACATTTACTCATAACAAAGTTTTGTCTGTTCTGCAGAGCTCCAAAAAGCCATAGATGAAAAGAATGAGGAGCTGGACAAACTAACAAAAGAGCTGAAAGAGAGAAGTACTCAACCACAACGACGTGAGTACAAACAACCTGCTGAAAGAATCCAGATTACTAACTGAGGTACAAATACTTATCAGTGTTCCAACCTTCTTTCAGTTCTGCAGATTATTGCACTACAAACAGAAATCGAGAAACTGGTCACTGTGGCTGAAAATAATACAGATGACGAGAAGATTAAAGGTGAGTGACATATCTTACCTGCACATAGTGTAAAGCAATGACTTCTTAAAAAATAAAATACATGCATTCGGTGGGAAAAAAAAAGTCATTCCTCATCTTTTTTTCTCCAGCACGTCAAGAAGAGCTCAATTCTTTGATAGAGGGAATTAAAGATGAACAGAATGAAAATATTAAGCTGAGTGAGTAACAGTCAGAATAAAATACTTCCCTCGCTCTCTTCTTCTTTGTCTTTAATATGTATGCACATGTATGTTTATCACAAAAAGTCTGTTTATCTGAATGTAGTGCTTTCAGTGAGTGTTTTCAAGTGACGGAACATTTCTCCCACTGAAAACGCTACGTCCGGATGAACAGACTTAATTTTTCGGGGATTTCCTTACCTGGATGCACTGATCATGCATGAAGATGATTTTCTTTTTTAATAGCATTTCAGATCTTGAATCAGCAAGATGAAATAGCAAGACTGAAGAAGCAACAAAACAGGAAGAATGAGACACAAGAAGCACAAATTAAAGGTGGGATGCAGTGGGCTTTCCTCAGATGTGATCATAGTAATACTACAGATATTTTAAGGACGTAAAACATCACTTTTGACTGTTTTTGTAGATCTGGAAGATCAACTGGAGGCCATCAGGAATGAGATACAACAAAAGACAGACCTGCTGGATAGAAAAGATATAAATATTGCTAATCTGTGTAAGTATTTTGCTCTGGTTCAGTCAGCAACAAGGATGAAATATCAAACAGCATCAGAGTCCATAATGTTTGTGTTTTGTTTTAGCTGCTCAGATTATGGAGCTTCACGAGCAAATTAAACCACTGGAAAATAACATAGCAGCCCTCAAAGAGGCTCATACTAAGAGCCTTGCAGGTACAGAACAAACTTTGAAATCTATATTTTGCATGAAGTAACCTGTATTTTAAGCTAATGGTTGTGTTTATTAATCTCGACGCATTTTCAGACCTTCAAAGGAAACTAAAGTTGAAAGAGAGGCAGCTGGATGACACTGAAAGTCAACTTGAGCATATAGATGCAGAGAATTTTAAATATGGTATGAATATTGTTGAATTTGCTTTTTGGTGTCATGCTGTTCATGTCCTTTTAGTACGATATAATATTCCAGTTTTTTGTATTTCCACTAGTGATGGAGATTGCTGATCTGAGGGCGAAACTGAAAGAGGCTGAAACGCAGACATCTGACAAAATCAAAGGTCAGTCATTTAACAATTTAGTGCATGTAGAGTCAATCTCATTAATATTTTGAAGACCTGCAACACATTTCTGCTTGATCTTAAATCCTGTTTAAAAGTACTTTTTTACTTTCTTTGTCAGACGTGGAGAAGAAACTAAAAACACAAGAAACAAAGAATAAAAAACTTGAAGCTGCAAACAAAGGTTTGTATTTTATATTGCAGGTAGTCACAAAATTAATTTGATATTTTGTCGCAAACATGTATCAGGGTTGGATTTAAACATCTGTTTAACTCTTATAGTATAATGCATTCATTTAGCTAACAGGAACTGAAAATTATGGGCAACAGCTAACCTGGCTTTCTCTACTTGTTATGTACTCGACTATTTTCTAACTCGATGTTTGTCATGTATGGATTAGACAAATTGCTGAGCAGAAATAGAGGCGGGCAAGCTGTTTTCCCTTTTTTTGCAGTCTTTATGTTAAGCTAACTAGCTAGTGGCAATACAATCAGTCAGTGTAAAAAGAAAGTATTGGGTCTTAAATACAAGCACAGATGAACTGCAAAACATGATATATTACACCGTCATTGTTTACCTAACAAAACCTAAACCAAAAGGCAGAAGCACTGTATGGAAAAACAGATGCATTTATGAGTGACTCAGTGACTGTGAGGTGCCCGGGTCCTGTGGCTGCAGTAAACAAATAGGGGCTTTTAGAGTCAGTCTCATAAATATTTTGAAGACCTGCAACACATTTCTGCTTGATCTTAAATCCTGTTTAAAAGTACTTTTTTACTTTCTTTGTCAGACGTGGAGAAGAAACTAAAAACACAAGAAGCTGAGAATAAAAAACTTGAAGCTGCAAACAAAGGTTTGTATTTTATTTTTGTTGGGCGACCGTGGCTCATGGGGTTGGGAAGCGTATCTGTAACCGGAAGGTCGCCGGTTCGATCTCCGGGTTCTCTGTCCTGGTCGTTGTGTCCTTGGGCAAGACACTTTACCCTACCGCCTACTAGTGTTGGCCAGAGGGGCAGATGGCACGATATGGCAGCCTCGCTTCTGTCAGTCTGCCCCAGGGCAGCTGTGGCTACAACTGTAGCTTGCCTCTACCAGTGAGTGAATGAATAGTGGCATTGTAAAGCGCTTTGGGTGACTTGAAAAGCGCTATATAAATCCAATCCATTATTATTATTTAACTCTTATAGTATAATGCAACAGCTCATTAGCTTAGCTTAGCACACAGACTACAATTAAAACCCTTCTGAGGCCCTGGGACCATTTTTGTACATTTTAGTTTTACAGTTACAAGCCATTTGCACTGTGTTGAATGGAATATAGCCAAATTCTCTAAAAAAAAGTTTGGTATAATTTCATTTCAAAATTCAAGTCTGACTTCCTTAAATTAGCTTCAGTGGCTAAGCTAACAATACACATCCTCTTAATGAGCAACAGCTCGCCTGGATTTATCTGCTTACTTCTATTTTCCAACTCTGTTTGGCACATATGGATTACAGTAATTGTTGAACATGAGCAGAATAAGTGTGACATGTAATTCCTTTGCAAGGCTTTTGCTGTAGATTAAACAAATAAAGTAAAACATGTTAATTTGTCTTTAGGAATCATGTAGTTAGCTTTAGGGAGGCTAGCTGTTTCCCCTTCTTTCCAATCTTTATGGTAAGCTAACATTCACATTATATAGCATTTTATATCTTGAGATAAAAATTTACAACATAATCTTTAGCCCCTTATAGTACCGGTATCTACTCGGATCAACTTGCCACGGTTTTCAGAGTTTTCCATTAGCTTAATTACCTGCAGTCATGGCGAGCCCATCCCAGTAGAGACTAATGGAAAAGGCGCTTTCAGTCCTTTTAATTTGTTTTGAGTAAGTCCTCCAGATCTCTTTTTTAAAAAGACAAAGACACAAATCAGGGGTTTTTTTCTGAATATATCCATCATATTAAAGAGTTTTGTGCAGAGATCCAATTTTAGTTGTTTGTTTCTTTTGATTCAGAGTTGGAGAAAAAACTGCAATTAAAGACTCAAGAATGCTCTGGACTCGAGCAACAACGAAACCGTAAGTTGTAAATCTGACTTCAACCTGAAAGTTTCTGAGCCTGAGTTTTTGATATGACTGTTTTTTTTCTTTTTTTCTTTTTTTAATCAGAGCTGAAGACTGAAGTTGAAGATAAGATTGCAGAACTGAACAAAACGAAAGACTTCAAAACTGCTCTGCGTGAGTGCGGTGCAGTTAAAGTCTCTCTTTTTTTTTTTGCTCACATCCTCACATTATATTTCAGAACTAATCTGTGCCGTCATATCTGCTCACGTTTATCTCTGTTAGTCCTGAATGTGATCAACATGAAGGCTGAAGTGAGGGCTTTGAAGGAGCAGATCTCAAACTCAAAAGATCCAGAAATCATCTCACGTGAGTATCAGCTGTCATAGTCAGCACACTTCCTGGAGGAAAAATGTGAAACAAATATGACCTCAAGTCATATATCTGTTTCTCTCTGATTCCCCACAGAGCTGCAGATGCAACTGGAGAAGAAGCAAGATGAACTGATTACTAAGACTGCAGAAATGGAGGAATTGCTTGCCAACCCGAGAGTGGGTGAGTGCACTGCTGTACTCTGTGATCAACACTGTTTAAACAGTCTGACAACCCGCTGCCTATTATTGCAATACTAAGCCTCTGGGGGCAATTGACAACATTTGGTCCAAACCATAGTTTCCATGTGATGTCAGAGCTACTGGGACATGCCCACCTGGTGGACAAAACAGTACAGTGGCCCTTTGCCCTCCAGCCATCCTTTGATTATCTTCAAATTTAACTTAGCCAAAATGCAGCAAAACGTGAGCACACCTCTCCTAACCACACCTCACAGTCCAAATCACACAAATCCCTGCTTCTCCACTGAAATCCGGACTGTCATTGGCAGTCATTTAAGAGGAATGATTTACCTGACACTGGAAAACTACTTTGTTAACTTTAATGTTATATTATGACAATAATATGACATATTAATACTACTAGAACTTTTCTGGCTCTACACTGTAAATGTCCAGGTCAACAAAACATAAGATTTACGCATGGTACTTTGTTTAAGCTAGCTATATAGCACTTACCTTTGCTTTAAAAATAAATTTATTGTTCTTCAGCTCCCACACGATGCCATTATTTACCCATCCTGACTGAAAATACATGTAGTCCCTTGGTTTGGACATGTTAACTGCTGTGTCTTAAGAAGCATCACAGTTGAAAAACTGGGATACTTTTTAATGGTTTCATAAAGAATTTGCTCACCTGTCGCATCTGTCTCAAAATACTGTGTAAGCACAGTATATGAACAATCAGAAAACAGCACTTGGTGATGGTGGAAAGGAAAAACTTCCTTTTAACAGGAAGAAACCCCTGGCTGAATCAGGCAGAGGGGAAATCATCTGCCATTACCGGATGAGGATAAGGAGAGGGAGACAGAACAATAACTAATCATTAAATGCAAAGTGGGATATAAGCACAGAGAGCAAAAAGGTGATTCGGGTTAGTGAAGATGAAACACTAGCAGCTTCAGCATGTTGCAGTGTAACTGCTCAGAGTCATTTGATCCAGCCCTAACTATAAACTTTGTCAAAAAGGAACATTTCACAACCAAACCTTACCTGTCATTCATCAGATGTTTGTTTGTTTCAGTTTTACAAATCATTGAGCTCCAGAATGAGATATGGGACCTGCAGAACAAGGATGTGAATGGGACAGCTGGTGACCAGATAAAAGGTACTTTAAGGTTTAAGGTGCTGATTGAGGGTGACACAAAGTCATAGTAGGTGACTAAATGTTATTAATACAATTCACTGTTTTTTGCAGCGCTACAAAACAGAATAGACACACTCATGGCTCAAATAGGCAGCAGTGATCGAGATAACACCAAACTGAGTGAGTATGAAGTAACTGTGAGCACAAAGGTTCACTGACAAGTTGAATTTTCTTTCTTTTTACCTTTTTCCCTCTCATGAAGTAATTCTCTCACAGCATGTCTTATAGCAAACTACTCTTTTTGCTTCTTTGTGCTTTAGCACTGAAAATCCTGAATCTGCAGAGTCAGGTGAAGCACCTGCAGAATCTGCTGTCAAACCGCGAATCTCAACAAACCAGTGAGCTAACTGGTAAGTATCTCCCATTGTGCTTTTCCTCTAGTGATAAGAGTGTGACAAATACAAGTGAGCAGGCAGAAGCACAGAGGAGTCAGATGTGGGGCAAGTGAGAGTTTTAGTTTTCCCCATCCTTGTAGAAAAAACAAAATAAGTGTGAGAGATAAAGAAACTTGGTAGCTTTTGTAATTCACAGTACAAAACGTGAACGATGATCTCTCGTGTCTGACCAATAAACCTGTTTTAACTTCTTTAAAATGACCTCAGAGATCACAAATGAGCTTGCAGCCAAGAAGGGAGAGCTGGAGAAACATGTCAATGAGCTGAAACAGAAGAACCAGGAAAATGCCAACCTGAGTAAGTCAAGAAAGACTGCAGTGTCTGCAGAAATGATGAAGGGAAAAAGTTCTGCTTTGATTCTTTCTTCCTCTGTTCCTCAGTTTTGAACATCACTGATCTGCAAAGCCAACTTGAAAACCTTGAAAAAGTTAAGACAGCTGAGGATAAAGAAAGTGCTGCTACAATTTCTAGTAAGTATTTTTCTTTTGATCTCTAAAAGCAAGTATCACCTCTGATACCTTCTTCACCTGAAGCTAACTTTACATTTTGTTAGATCTCAGAAAACAACTGAAGGTTAAAGAGTTGGAGCATTCTCGTGATCAGGAAGTGATCCTCGGTAAGTTCATCCGTGGCATGTTTAAGTTTCTGCAACAAGAAGGATTAAGTTGATTTTAAGATGCTTGCAAGTTTCGGCCGGTCTCCGCAGATTGCTGCCCCTCCCTGGTTCTGCCAGAGATTTGTTCCTGTTAAAAGGGAGTTTTTCCTTCCCTCTGTCACCAAAGCACAGCGCCTTGAGGCAACTGTTGTTGTGATTTGGCACTGTATAAATAAAAGTGAACTGAACTGAATTATTGGAGAAACCTGGAATTAATAGTTTTACAAACTCATAGTCAAAACCCACTGAAAGCCAACAAAATATAACAATATGAGCTTTCATGCTGACCTGTATCAAAAAATAATGCCTAGACTATTGCTTAGTAATGTAACCTTTCTCTTAGACTTGCAGGAAAAACTGAACGAGACAGAAAGCTGTTCAGATTATGAGCAGACAATTACAGGTGAGTGTAATCTTTGACTTGCTGTTCTTTCTCAATATAGAAAACTGTTGTCTGTGATCAGCACCCATAATAAATGTCTCTGTGCAGATCTGCAGCAAAACCTGAATGACAAAATCAAGGAGCTGCAGTCCAAATCGAGCTCTGTTACTTCACTTGGTGAGTGTTGAATCTGTTAGCTGTACTGTATTAATATGCTCCATCTTCCACCATCCAGTTGATCATATTTAACCAATTTATTTCTGATCTTGGTGAAATTATTTTAAAAGGGAAGATATTAGAAGCCGTTAAGAAGCTCACAGTGTTGCAACCTTTGATACATTACAGGACAATAATAAATAATACATCATGATACATGTAGGTATATTTACTGATTAAAAACCCTGAAAGACCATAAGAATAACACCAAGATATTTACTGCATTGTGTATCATCATTAGTGGTGCATGCCTAATAGTACACAATGATAGTGCTATATTAATGTTTGCCATGTTTGTGCACTTGGCCAACAGATATAATCATATTGAGCAAAGTTTTCTCTTTTAATGCTTGGTGGTTGGCAGGCATGCCTAATTCAGCTCTGTGGCTAAATAATGCTAACGTGCTTTTTGCTTTGCTCATGTATGGCACAGAGATGTGTGGTTAGTTTCTCATCATTCTTAATATTTTTGTTATGTGACTATATAGTCATATTTGGTTTCTAAAAAATTCTTACAAAGAGCAAAAAATATATAAACATAATATACCATTAAAAATGATATTTGTATTCTTTGGAGACAACATAGTCAATGAATAAGTTGCCCTAAATTATTAAGTAAAAAAGTAAGCTCTTACTTTGTTTTGAGATGATGAGTTGGATGATTATTCGGTGTACATAGTACGTTCAGTTTTAAAAACAAACAAAACCTGACCTGTAAAGCTTGGGTTTGACATTTACGTGGACTACTGTAATATTGGCATGGCCCCTGACTATCACAAAAACGTACACGTGAAAACTGTAGCTTTAAAAGAGAGACTTAAGGAGTATAGCAAATGTATTGATATCTTTGGTCAAAAAAATGTAAGATCCAAATTGTAATATACAATGTACACTACAGCAGGAATGATTAACAACAGCCACAAAACATTTTAAACTAAAAATGTAGTTTTTCATAATATTTAGCAGTAATGGTGCTATGGTTCCTGCAGTCCTCATGGTCAAATGTCTTCAGCATTACCATTGTCTGCTCATGCTGATTTTTAAGGATTTTATTTCTAATTATTCATTCCTCGTGTAGTGGTGACTTGAACAAATTTTCATGACCTCTGAGTGACGTACGGGTGACATACACAGAAAGAGGCAGGTGAAACAAATGCAAATGGAAAACGTGATATTGGGGTGGGAAATGGAAGAAATATAATACATATGGAAATCCAAATAATTTGAATGTTTTCTTTAAAAACATATATAGATGTTAATGATTGATATGACGGCATTTGTGCAATTATTATAGAGACATGCTATTATTCTGGAATGGAAATAAGGATGTTTTCACAAGGTGTTAAAGCTGCATAAAACCTAAAAACAGGTCATTTTAGCCCATTGCAGGGTTGTTTGCAGATTTTAATGTTGTGTAATAAAAATGCTTTTATGTGGTCTTACAGGTGCATAATTGCAAAGAAAGGGACACATAAGTCCTTTGCTAGGTGGTTGATTGGCAATATGATGAGGCCAAAATATCTGATAAGTTAGAACCTTCAGGAGCTTGAGATGTATTTTGTATTAGAGATGGACCGATCCGATATTACGTATCGGTATCGGTCCGATACTGACCTAAATTACTGGATCGGATATCGGAGAAAAATAAAAAATGTAATCCGATCCATTAAATATCACGAAAGCACCTCACAAAACTTGCAACACGCCGTAACTCACCTCAGAACGTTAGCAGTTGGAGCAGTATGCATCACGTGATAGAGCGGCTGTGGCATGCGGGACCTGTCGGTGGTCTGGATAGCATTTGGAGCTTCGCTAGCAACCCGGCATTTCATCTCCGACAAAGTTATCCCTAGAGAAGTAAAGCAAGTGTGTAAGTCCATCTCTGAATGTTTGTAAAGCATTCCTGCGTTAAGCTTAACAAGCGACATATGGAGCGACTGCCTCTCCTGCTGCTACTTCAATCATGAAACTGCTTAACGATCAGCTGATCAGCTTTTCTGTCGCGAGTCCGTCTCTCTGGTTTGCTTTTGGCCCACTTTGCACCAGAAAGAGGAAACCAGCGGCTGAACAACAGCAGCACGTTTAAGCTTGATAAGCTGTTGTTACAATTTATTTATTATTACTTTCTACTCGAGGATCTTTTTCTACGTAGCTGACGCTGGTAACTGTGCAGGGGCGGATCTAGCAAAGTTTAGCCAGGGGGGCCGATAGGGCATTAACAGGGAAAAGGGGCACAAAGACATACTTTTCTTTCTTATTCTCATTTAAAATGTCTAGCTTTTAATAAATAATTATCTGACAGCCAAAGTTTTAATTTGATGCAAAATGAATAGAAGTCCATTACTGTATATAGTAACTATTAAGTCTAATATATATACCCTAGTAAGCTATAGTACTTTTTCCTTTGGGAAGGTACCATCTGTGCAGTCTGCAATTTTGTTGAAGAAAGATGTTGAATCTATTTAATATTTCTTGAAAAATAATTGATTTCTGTGCATTTTTTTCACACTGCATCAAATTAAGGTTGATTACGTCGATTAAGCATCATGAGGTGGCGCGTGAGGGGTGGTTCCCTATTTTTTTATTTTTTTATTTTTGTTGTTGCTGGGAGTTGGAACCCTATTAGTTAGGTTGCTTAATATTTATGCTAAGTACTCTTTAAAATACCAGAATAGGGAGGATGGTGTAGGTTTAAGTTTATTAGATTGATCAGTATTGCTGAACTATGAAATATTTTTTTTGCATACAGGTATAACAGAATAGCTTTAGTGTAGTTGTTGTTTTAAACTTGAGTATGAACTTATACAAAATGCAGCAAGATATTTAAAAAACAGTTTTGTTGATTAAAAAACACTATATCGGATTCATATCGGTATCGGCAGATATCCAAATTTATGATATCGGTATCGGACATAAAAAAGTGGTATCGTGCCATCTCCATTTTGTATGCTAATTTTTAATGCTTAGTTCCAGATGGTCTAGTTTGCAGTAAAAGAAACAAACACACAGACAGACAGAGCATTTTAATATATTAAAAAAAAAAGGTTTTAATAATGTGTCACTAATATAAACTGTCTCCCTGACTTGTTTCATCACACTCTCAGTGTTTTATTATACTTCCTCACAGTTAATGAGTTTGTGGTGAAGCCAACCTGAGAGAGATGTAATGTAGACACTAAAGCCGGTGAGCAAGAATGTCATACTAAAGAGGATGGTTCTTTTAAATACAGGGTGGGGGGGAGAGAATCAGAAACCCCGGGCACAATGATGAAGCAGGCCTGATCAGAAACAGTTTATTCCCGAGACGGACAGTAGGAATAAAACAACCCAAATACTAATAAGAAAAAAGTATACAATAAAATGTTATTAATATACTAAAATCCCCCAGGAATAAAAAAAAAACCCACTTCAAAAACTGCTAAAAATATAATTCTCTGCATGCACTAAAATCCCATCCGGTTCCCTGATGTAACTGTCCACAGTCCAGGATGAATGTTTGTTAGGTGTTCATGAGCTGGACAGAAATTCCCTTTGCGGAGGGGGGTCCACGCCAGCCTCGTCCCAGGCTGACTGGGAGGAGCCTCCCCATATGGAAAAGAAATAGTAAAAACTTATAAAAGACTTGCATAAGATGTGGCCTACTTCATATAGTGAATCATATAAGGCTTATAAGATTTACTCATGAAAGTGGCCACTTTCATATATTGTTTTAGTAAGTATCCAAAACATACAAGTTTCATTTATATAATTTTTCAAGGGATCTTACATCTGTTTTTACTCTTGTGTGCTTTTCATACAAGTTTCACACAAGACAGATGCAAACTTTATAAGATTTATACATATCTTTTCCATATGGGTCTATCCCCCTCTCGTCCTCTCACTGGGCCCATCACACACTGGCGTCCGTCGCTCGATACCACCGCGGCTCCACTTGCGTCATCGCCCTGTAAATAAACAAATAGGTGCTAGAACCATCGTCCCGGAAGCGGCCCTGGCTTATAGCCATGGCAACCCTCTGCCAACACGGCTGCACCCAGTGAATGACAGTGGAGACACTACTCACAAATGTAGGCAGAGGTATACCTCTCCCCTGCTACTAATCACACACGTTGTCTCCTACTGTCGCCGTTCCTGCTGTCGAGACTGGGTTGCCATGTCATGCTGACTGGTCCGTCTCCAGATGAGGCACCGCACCCCCACGATCAACCAGCGGGTCCCTCTTTTTCTCCTGGCCTTTGCGCGTTCCTCCTTATATCTGGGGCCTCTCTCCTCCAGTATCCAGCTAGCTTCCTTTTAATAGGTGTTTAGACAGCTGATAGGCCACCTCTGGACACACACATGCCTCAGCAGGTGATCCAGCTAATTTGCCCCATGCTCAGCCTGTCCAAATAGAAAGTGTCCTAGCTGGTATTCACAAAATTTCTTATATGGATCATAGTTGTTAAAATCAGAGCCTTTGCTAAAAACACAACTTACATTGGGCACATGCACAGATGTTGTGCACATTTTCATGTGTCTTAGATGAGAACAGTGAACGCTGATGTTTATTCTGACTGATTCTTTCAGCTCTACAAATTTCTACATTAACTCAGCAAGTGGAGCAACTGAAAGCACAAATGAACAACTCTGTGTCCAAATCCAAGGTTGATGGTGAGTGTGTTTCATTGTCAAGTCAAGTAAGCAGCGCTACTGGGGTCCAGTATTCACATGGTGTACATTAAAGGGTTGTTGTACAGCTTTAATATTAGCTAAATAAATATTTACATTTACGCATAAATCCCCCCCAAACAAAGTTTTGTCTGATCTGCAGAGCTCCAAAAAGCCATAGATGAAAAGAACGAGGAGCTGGACAAACTAAAAAAAGAGCTGAAAGAGAGAAGCACTCAACCACGTAGACGTGAGTACAAACAACCTGCTGAAAGAATCCAGATTACTTACTCAAGTACAAATACTTATAAGTGTTCCAACCTTCTTTCAGTTCTGCAGATTATTGCACTGCAAACAGAAATCGAGAAGCTGGACACTGTGGCGGAAAATGATAGAGATGAGGAGAAGATTAAAGGTGAGTGACATATCTTACCTGCGTAAAGTAACAAGTGTAAAGCAAAAATAGGATCATTTCTGTTTTGTTTTTTCTTCTTGAAAAAATCATCTTTTTTTCCCAGTACTTCAAGGAAAGCTCACTTATTTGATTGATGGAGTTAAAGATGAACAGGGTGAAAACATTAAGCTGAGTGAGTAACAGTCAGAGTAAAATACTTCCCTCACTCTCTTCTTGTTATATATGCATAAACCTTTTTTGTAGCATTTCAGATCTTGAATCAGCAAGCTGAAATAGCAAGACTGAAGAAGGAAGAAGAAAAGAAGAATCAGGCACAAGAAGCAAAAATTAAAGGTGGGCTCTCCTCAAATGCGATCATAGTAATACTACAAATATTTAAGGACATAAAACATCACTTTTGCCTATTTTTGTAGATCTGGAGAATCAACTGGAGGCCATGAGAAATCAGAGAAACACAAGAAGTGGTATGAGTTCAGTCATGAGTTCTGGTTCAGTCAGCAACAAGGAGTGAAATATCAAACAGCATCCGAGTCCATAACGTTTGTGTTTTGTTTTAGCTGCTGAGATTATGGAGCTTGAAGTGCAAATTAAAGAACTGGAAGATAACATAGCAGCCCTCAAAGAGGCTCATACTGAGAGCCTTGCAGGTACAGAAGAAACTTTGAAATGTATATTGCATGAAGTAACCTGTATATTAAGCTAATGGTTGTGTTTATTAATCTCAACTCACTTTCAGACCTTCAAAGGAGACTAAAGTTGAAAGAGAGGCAGCTGGATGACACTGAAAGTCAACTTGAGCATATAGATGCAGAGAATTTTAAATATGGTATGAATATTGTTGAATTTGCTTTTTGGTGTCATGCTGTTCATGTCCTTTTAGTACGATATCATATTCCAGGTTTTTGTATTTCCACTAGTGATGGAGATTGCTGATCTGAGGGTGAAACTGAAAAAGGCGGTGACGCAGACATCTGACAAAAAAATCAAAGGTTTGAGATTTTTGCAGTCATTTAACAATTTAGTGCATGTAGAGTCAGTCTCATAAATATTTTGAAGACCTGCAACACATTTCTGCTTGATCTTAAATCCTGTTTAAAAGTACTTTTTTACTTTCTTTGTCAGACGTGGAGAAGAAACTAAAAACACAAGAAGCTGAGAATAAAAAACTTGAAGCTGCAAACAAAGGTTTGTATTTTATTTTTGTTGGGCGACCGTGGCTCATGGGGTTGGGAAGCGTATCTGTAACCGGAAGGTCGCCGGTTCGATCTCCGGGTTCTCTGTCCTGGTCGTTGTGTCCTTGGGCAAGACACTTTACCCTACCGCCTACTAGTGTTGGCCAGAGTGGCAGATGGCACGATATGGCAGCCTCGCTTCTGTCAGTCTGCCCCAGGGCAGCTGTGGCTACAACTGTAGCTTGCCTCTACCAGTGAGTGAATGAATAGTGGCATTGTAAAGTGCTTTGGGTGACTTGAAAAGCGCTATATAAATCCAATCCATTATTATTATTTAACTCTTATAGTATAATGCAACAGCTCATTAGCTTAGCTTAGCACACAGACTACAATTAAAACCCTTCTGAGGCCCTGGGACCATTTTTGTACATTTTAGTTTTTCAGTTACAAGCCATTTGCACTGTGTTGAATGGAATATAGCCAAATTCTCTAAAAAAAAGTTTGGTATAATTTCATTTCAAAATTCAAGTCTGACTTCCTTAAATTAGCTTCAGTGGCTAAGCTAACAATACACATCCTCTTAATGAGCAACAGCTCGCCTGGATTTATCTGCTTACTTCTATTTTCCAACTCTGTTTGGCACATATGGATTACAGTAATTGTTGAACATGAGCAGAATAAGTGTGACATGTAATTCCTTTGCAAGGCTTTTGCTGTAGATTAAACAAATAAAGTAAAACATGTTAATTTGTCTTTAGGAATCATGTAGTTAGCTTTAGGGAGGCTAGCTGTTTCCCCTTCTTTCCAATCTTTATGGTAAGCTAACATTCACATTATATAGCATTTTATATCTTGAGATAAAAATTTACAACATAATCTTTAGCCCCTTATAGTACCGGTATCTACTCGGATCAACTTGCCACGGTTTTCAGAGTTTTCCATTAGCTTAATTACCTGCAGTCATGGCGAGCCCATCCCAGTAGAGACTAATGGAAAAGGCGCTTTCAGTCCTTTTAATTTGTTTTGAGTAAGTCCTCCAGATCTCTTTTTTAAAAAGACAAAGACACAAATCAGGGGTTTTTTTTCTGAATATATCCATCATATTAAAGAGTTTTGTGCAGAGATCCAATTTTAGTTGTTTGTTTCTTTTGATTCAGAGTTGGAGAAAAAACTGCAATTAAAGACTCAAGAATGCTCTGGACTCGAGCAACAACGAAACCGTAAGTTGTAAATCTGACTTCAACCTGAAAGTTTCTGAGCCTGAGTTTTTGATATGACTGTTTTTTCTTTTTTTCTTTTTTTAATCAGAGCTGAAGACTGAAGTTGAAGATAAGATTGCAGAACTGAACAAGACAAAAGACTTCAAAACTGCTCTGCGTGAGTGCGGTGCAGTTAAAGTCTCTCTTTTTTTTTTTGCTCACATCCTCACATTATATTTCAGAACTAATCTGTGCCGTCATATCTGCTCACGTTTGTCTCTGTTAGTCCTGAATGTGATCAACATGAAGGCTGAAGTGAGGGCTTTGAAGGAGCAGATCTCAAACTCAAAAGATCCAGAAATCATCTCACGTGAGTATCAGCTGTCATAGTCAGCACACTTCCTGGAGGAAAAATGTGAAACAAATATGACCTCAAGTCATATATCTGTTTCTCTCTGATTCCCCACAGAGCTGCAGATGCAACTGGAGAAGAAGCAAGATGAACTGATTACTAAGACTGCAGAAATGGAGGAATTGCTTGCCAACCCGAGAGTGGGTGAGTGCACTGCTGTACTCTGTGATCAACACTGTTTAAACAGTCTGACAACCCGCTGCCTATTATTGCAACACTAAGCCTCTGGGGGCAATTGACAACATTTGGTCCAAACCATAGTTTCCATGTGATGTCAGAGCTACTGGGACATGCCCACCTGGTGGACAAAACAGTACAGTGGCCCTTTGCCCTCCAGCCATCCTTTGATTATCTTCAAATTTAACTTAGCCAAAATGCAGCAAAACATGAGCACACCTCTCCTAACCACACCTCACAGTCCAAATCACACAAATCCCTGCTTCTCCACTGAAATCCAGACTGTCATTGGCAGTCATTTAAGAGGAATGATTTACCTGACACTGGAAAACTACTTTGTTAACTTTAATGTTATATTATGACAATAATATGACATATTAATACTACTAGAACTTTTCTGGCTCTACACTGTAAATGTCCAGGTCAACAAAACATAAGATTTACGCATGGTACTTTGTTTAAGCTAGCTATATAGCACTTACCTTTGCTTTAAAAATAAATTTATTGTTCTTCAGCTCCCACACGATGCCATTATTTACCCATCCTGACTGAAAATACATGTAGTCCCTTGGTTTGGACATGTTAACTGCTGTGTCTTAAGAAGCATCACAGTTGAAAAACTGGGATACTTTTTAATGGTTTCATAAAGAATTTGCTCACCTGTCGCATCTGTCTCAAAATACTGTGTAAGCACAGTATATGAACAATCAGAAAACAGCACTTGGTGATGGTGGAAAGGAAAAACTTCCTTTTAACAGGAAGAAACCCCTGGCTGAATCAGGCAGAGGGGAAATCATCTGCCATTACCGGATGAGGATAAGGAGAGGGAGACAGAACAATAACTAATCATTAAATGCAAAGTGGGATATAAGCACAGAGAGCAAAAAGGTGATTCGGGTTAGTGAAGATGAAACACTAGCAGCTTCAGCATGTTGCAGTGTAACTGCTCAGAGTCATTTGATCCAGCCCTAACTATAAACTTTGTCAAAAAGGAACATTTCACAACCAAACCTTACCTGTCATTCATCAGATGTTTGTTTGTTTCAGTTTTACAAATCATTGAGCTCCAGAATGAGATATGGGACCTGCAGAACAAGGATGTGAATGGGACAGCTGGTGACCAGATAAAAGGTACTTTAAGGTTTAAGGTGCTGATTGAGGGTGACACAAAGTCATAGTAGGTGACTAAATGTTATTAATACAATTCACTGTTTTTTGCAGCGCTACAAAACAGAATAGACACACTCATGGCTCAAATAGGCAGCAGTGATCGAGATAACACCAAACTGAGTGAGTATGAAGTAACTGTGAGCACAAAGGTTCACTGACAAGTTGAATTTTCTTTCTTTTTGCCTTTTTCCCTCTCATGAAGTAATTCTCTCACAGCATGTCTTATAGCAAACTACTCTTTTTGTTTCTTTGTGCTTTAGCACTGAAAATCCTGAATCTGCAGAGTCAGGTGAAGCACCTGCAGAATCTGCTGTCAAACCGCGAATCTCAACAAACCAGTGAGCTAACTGGTAAGTATCTCCCATTGTGCTTTTCCTCTAGTGATAAGAGTGTGACAAATACAAGTGAGCAGGCAGAAGCACAGAGGAGTCAGATGTGGGGCAAGTGAGAGTTTTAGTTTTCCCCATCCTTGTAGAAAAACAAAAAGTGTGAGAGATAAAGAAACTTGGTAGCTTTTGTAATTCACAGTACAAAACGTGAACGATGATCTCTCGTGTCTGACCAATAAACCTGTTTTAACTTCTTTAAAATGACCTCAGAGATCACAAATGAGCTTGCAGCCAAGAAGGGAGAGCTGGAGAAACATGTCAATGAGCTGAAACAGAAGAACCAGGAAAATGCCAACCTGAGTAAGTCAAGAAAGACTGCAGTGTCTGCAGAAATGATGAAGGGAAAAAGTTCTGCTTTGATTCTTTCTTCCTCTGTTCCTCAGTTTTGAACATCACTGATCTGCAAAGCCAACTTGAAAACCTTGAAAAAGTTAAGACAGCTGAGGATAAAGAAAGTGCTGCTACAATTTCTAGTAAGTATTTTTCTTTTGATCTCTAAAAGCAAGTATCACCTCTGATACCTTCTTCACCTGAAGCTAACTTTACATTTTGTTAGATCTCAGAAAACAACTGAAGGTTAAAGAGTTGGAGCATTCTCGTGATCAGGAAGTGATCCTCGGTAAGTTCATCCGTGGCATGTTTAAGTTTCTGCAACAAGAAGGATTAAGTTGATTTTAAGATGCTTGCAAGTTTCGGCCGGTCTCCGCAGATTGCTGCCCCTCCCTGGTTCTGCCAGAGATTTGTTCCTGTTAAAAGGGAGTTTTTCCTTCCCTCTGTCACCAAAGCACAGCGCCTTGAGGCAACTGTTGTTGTGATTTGGCACTGTATAAATAAAAGTGAACTGAACTGAATTATTGGAGAAACCTGGAATTAATAGTTTTACAAACTCATAGTCAAAACCCACTGAAAGCCAACAAAATATAACAATATGAGCTTTCATGCTGACCTGTATCAAAAAATAATGCCTAGACTATTGCTTAGTAATGTAACCTTTCTCTTAGACTTGCAGGAAAAACTGAACGAGACAGAAAGATGTTCAGATGATAAGCAGAAAATTACAGGTGAGTGTAATCTTTGACTTGCTGTTCTTGCTAAATACAGAAAACTGTTGTCTGTGATCAGCACCCATAATAAATGTCTCTGTGCAGATCTGCAGCAAAACCTGAATGACAAAATCAAGGAGCTGCAGTCCAAATCGAGCTCTGTTACTTCACTTGGTGAGTGTTGAATCTCTGAATAAAAAACTTTCTAAGCTGTCAAATTCATCATAATATATTCATTTTTTTTCCTATGATATTGATTTAAAAGTGAAGATTTTAGAAGCTGTAAATCATATTTTACTTAACTTTTTGTCACCTTCAACAAAAAAGGTTTAATTCATGATGATGCAATTTTGTAGTTATTAGGGGAACGCCTGAGTCACTCATGGTCAAGCAAGAGCTGCAAATGTACTGCATTATTTATTATAATTACTACTACATGGCATGCCCACGCTACAGTAGTGCCACTGTAGTGTTTGGCCTATTTGTGCAGCTGGCTGATTGATATACTTAATCACATTGGGGGTTGGGGTAATCTCACAAGGTCCTAGGTGGTTGGTAGGCATGTGTAATTCAACTTTGTGAATATAAATAAAACTAGCTGCCTCATAATAAGATAATATCCAAATAAAAGGAGGTGCATGTAGGTGCATAAAGGCAAAAAATGTCATTTTTAGCCACTTGCTAGGTTTTTGCAATAGGATGGTGTCAATCAGACTTTTTGAATTTAAACTAGATGTTAATGTTGTGCAATAAAAATACATTTATGTTTTTATAGGAGCATAATTGATAAGAAAAGGAACTTTTTAGCCCTTTACTGGGTGGTTGCTATGTGATATGATGACATCATACTATCTGAATATTAAAATATCTGAATATATCTTAATATGTCAAAAAAAATATATTGCCATGATTTCTTTCTCCACATTCTCAATGTTTTACTATTCGCAGATGTTGTGCACATTTTCATGTGTCTTAGATGAGAACAGTGAACGCTGATGTTTATTCTGACTGATTCTTTCAGCTCTACAAATTTCTACATTAACTCAGCAAGTGGAGCAACTGAAAGCACAAATGAACAACTCTGTGTCCAAATCCAAGGTTGATGGTGAGTGTGTTTCATTGTCAAGTCAAGTAAGCAGCGCTACTGGGGTCCAGTATTCACATGGTGTACATTAAAGGGTTGTTGTACAGCTTTAATATTAGCTAAATAAATATTTACATTTACTCATAACAAAGTTTTGTCTGTTCTGCAGAGCTCCAAAAAGCCATAGATGAAAAGAACGAGGAGCTGGACAAACTAACAAAAGAGCTGAAAGAGAGAAGTACTCAACCACAACGACGTGAGTACAAACAACCTGCTGAAAGAATCCAGATTACTAACTGAGGTACAAATACTTATCAGTGTTCCAACCTTCTTTCAGTTCTGCAGATTATTGCACTACAAACAGAAATCGAGAAACTGGTCACTGTGGCTGAAAATAATACAGATGACGAGAAGATTAAAGGTGAGTGACATATCTTACCTGCACATAGTGTAAAGCAATGACTTCTTAAAAAATAAAATACATGCATTCGGTGGGAAAAAAAAAGTCATTCCTCATCTTTTTTTCTCCAGCACGTCAAGAAGAGCTCAATTCTTTGATAGAGGGAATTAAAGATGAACAGAATGAAAATATTAAGCTGAGTGAGTAACAGTCAGAATAAAATACTTCCCTCGCTCTCTTCTTCTTTGTCTTTAATATGTATGCACATGTATGTTTATCACAAAAAGTCTGTTTATCTGAATGTAGTGCTTTCAGTGAGTGTTTTCAAGTGACGGAACCTTTCTCCCACTGAAAACGCTACGTCCGGATGAACAGACTTAATTTTTCGGGGATTTCCTTACCTGGATGCACTGATCATGCATGAAGATGATTTTCTTTTTTAATAGCATTTCAGATCTTGAATCAGCAAGATGAAATAGCAAGACTGAAGAAGCAACAAAACAGGAAGAATGAGACACAAGAAGCACAAATTAAAGGTGGGATGCAGTGGGCTTTCCTCAGATGTGATCATAGTAATACTACAGATATTTTAAGGACGTAAAACATCACTTTTGACTGTTTTTGTAGATCTGGAAGATCAACTGGAGGCCATCAGGAATGAGATACAACAAAAGACAGACCTGCTGGATAGAAAAGATATAAATATTGCTAATCTGTGTAAGTATTTTGCTCTGGTTCAGTCAGCAACAAGGATGAAATATCAAACAGCATCAGAGTCCATAATGTTTGTGTTTTGTTTTAGCTGCTCAGATTATGGAGCTTCACGAGCAAATTAAACCACTGGAAAATAACATAGCAGCCCTCAAAGAGGCTCATACTAAGAGCCTTGCAGGTACAGAACAAACTTTGAAATCTATATTTTGCATGAAGTAACCTGTATTTTAAGCTAATGGTTGTGTTTATTAATCTCACTCACTTTCAGACCTTCAAAGGAAACTAAAGTTGAAAGAGAGGCAGCTGGATGACACTGAAAGTCAACTTGAGCATATAGATGCAGAGAATTTTAAATATGGTATGAATATTGTTGAATTTGCTTTTTGGTGTCATGCTGTTCATGTCCTTTTAGTACGATATAATATTCCAGTTTTTTGTATTTCCACTAGTGATGGAGATTGCTGATCTGAGGGCGAAACTGAAAGAGGCTGAAACGCAGACATCTGACAAAATCAAAGGTCAGTCATTTAACAATTTAGTGCATGTAGAGTCAATCTCATTAATATTTTGAAGACCTGCAACACATTTCTGCTTGATCTTAAATCCTGTTTAAAAGTACTTTTTTACTTTCTTTGTCAGACGTGGAGAAGAAACTAAAAACACAAGAAACAAAGAATAAAAAACTTGAAGCTGCAAACAAAGGTTTGTATTTTATATTGCAGGTAGTCACAAAATTAATTTGATATTTTGTCGCAAACATGTATCAGGGTTGGATTTAAACATCTGTTTAACTCTTATAGTATAATGCATTCATTTAGCTAACAGGAACTGAAAATTATGGGCAACAGCTAACCTGGCTTTCTCTACTTGTTATGTACTCGACTATTTTCTAACTCGATGTTTGTCATGTATGGATTAGACAAATTGCTGAGCAGAAATAGAGGCGGGCAAGCTGTTTTCCCTTTTTTTGCAGTCTTTATGTTAAGCTAACTAGCTAGTGGCAATACAATCAGTCAGTGTAAAAAGAAAGTATTGGGTCTTAAATACAAGCACAGATGAACTGCAAAACATGATATATTACACCGTCATTGTTTACCTAACAAAACCTAAACCAAAAGGCAGAAGCACTGTATGGAAAAACAGATGCATTTATGAGTGACTCAGTGACTGTGAGGTGCCCGGGTCCTGTGGCTGCAGTAAACAAATAGGGGCTTTTATAGCTGGTGAATGAACGTTAACCTTGATAACTCTTACTACGCTCGGCAGTAACGATACTCTGTTCTCGACCCTTAGACAGATTATCAGGCTGTCCCGTATTTCACAATAAAACTCTCTCACTTGAGTCTTCTCCAAACAACTTTTTTGGTCTTTTTCTAGTTTTACTGTCATGAACTTTAACATTTAACATGTGAACTGAGGCTTATAGAGTCTCAGATGTAGCACTTTTTGCCCCAGTTTCTCTGAGTATAGCATGATAAATTTTCTGCAATATCCTAGCCACTGTCTTGAATATTTTCCACTTTCGCGATTCTCTCACTGTAGAATTAGGGACTTTTTTTTTTTTTTTTGGAAATGGCCTTTCAACCCTGCCACTTACCCTCCTAATTCCTATGGAAGCAATAAGGGTGTAGTTCTCCCAAAGTTGATTCTGTTCATCTGGATGTGGCGTTTTTTGTTTGTTTTTTTTTAGTGGGAGAAACGTTTCGTCACTCATCCAAGTGACTTCTTCAGTCTCAGCTGACTGCAGGTTTCCCCAATCTTATAAACAGTACATTTGCATAATGACTGAAACCAGCCCACTGAGGAACAATGGGCTGGGAGGTCAGTTCCTTAATCTTAATTATGCAAATTCTCATGACCATTGATCAACCACCACTGATCAAAGACCACTGACCAATGGCCATGAGTCCCATTCACAGAGAGTTGGGGAATGGCTGCAATCACAGCATTGTAAGATGGCAAAAGATGTACCCTTAGGCCCCCTTCTCGATTCAGAGATGATTTTCCCTTTTCACTTAAATGGCCTCCTTGACTCCACGCTCAAATCACCGTTCCTCCCTGTCCAGGATGTTACATCCTCATCATTGAAAGAGTGGTGTAGTTCACTAATGGTGTAGTTCATTTTCCACACACTGCTTCTTGTTTTTGAACTACTTTTTGTCCATCTGAGGTTGTATTTACTTAATTTCTGTCTGGTATGATAAGAACCAGATTTTCTTTATGTCTGGAAACCTCAAACCTTGGAACTGACAGAGAGTGTACTTTCTTTGGAGCATGTTGCGACTGTCTGTCTATGAAAAGTGCTTAATAAATAGACTTTACTTTCTGACATCTTTTCATCTAAAATTAAACAAGGACAAATAAATGCATTTCTCAAAACATCCAAAACTATCCAAATGTGACTCTCATTTAGCTGGTTCATGTTTAATCTCTCTCCCTCTGTCAGACCTAAAGCAGGAAGTCACAGAGCTGAAGATGTGCTGCTCTCAACCGCCAGAGGAGTGTGAAGGTAAGATTCCCAATGTGACCACATTATTATTGTGTGGATATATTGTACAGATGCACTCCTTGAGGTTCTGAAGTATGTATTTCATCAAACAGACTTGCGAAGAGATTTGCAGCAGTGCCATGATGATGCAGACCGCCAGCTGCAGGAGCTACATCAGAAGGATGCCAAGCTCAACCAGTTGGAGCAGGAGTTACAAAGACAGAACAGGGAGAATAACAAACTGCAGAATAATATTGACAGTATGTTCAAGCCACAGAATGAGCAGATTCAGTATAATATGGGAAAGTGGGTAGTAGTGAATGTGAGATTCTTAATTGGATAATTTAATCTTCTTGTTAGACCTGCAAGCTGAGAAAAACAAACCTCAGGAAATTGTAGAACTTCTAGTTTAGCCCAGAAACATACAAAGAGTAAACTGTTATGACACAAAATCCTCTGACAGACATTCTCTTCTTACTCTGCCCTCAGGGCTTCAAAGGGAACTAGGTGATATAGAAGAAAAGACCATCCATACCTGTGAGTCACACACGAAAGTTTGTTTCTTTTTTCTTTTTCTTTGCACTTTTGTTTAAAGCTAATAAAGCTGCACAGATGCCATGAAAAAAAATACACGACTACTCACGCTGCATACAACAGCCTGTTGTGTGAAAACGTCTATATAACTTTAAAGCACACCCTTACATTTTTCACATTAAGGTTAAATTATGCCATCTGTGTTATCAGGGTTGTTTCACTGCATGCTGATTTCAGATGGTGTTTCTTTTAACAGCAAAGATGACCTTCGATCCAGACACAGCGCACCCAAGAATAGTTTTATCTGATGATGAAACCGAGATGTCCACTGCAGATTTTATACAAGACGTCCCCAACAATCCAAGACGGTTTGATGTGATTCTGGGGGCCCTAGGTGCCACTGGCTTCTCATCTGGCAAGCATTACTGGGAGGTTTCAGTAGCTGGAAAGACCTGTTACCACCTTGGGATGACCAGTGAATCTTCTCGAAGAAAGGGATCAATACCCTTCAGTCCAAACAATGATTACTGGACTATAGTCCTGGACAAACAGGGTCAGTACAGAGCTATAGAGCAGAGGAGAACGGTTCCCATTCCTACTGAGATACAACCAGTTACCCTGGGTATCCTGCTAGATTACAAAAAGGGAACCATCTCGTTTTATGATTCAGGGTCCAGAACTCATATGTATTCTTTTGTAGGTCAGCACTTCACAGGAAAAATTTATCCATTTGTCAATTTCTGTGTAGAAGATGGCAGCGCTCCAAATCCAGTAGTTTTAATTACTCCTGGAGCAACTGACTGGATAAAATAAGGGTCACGAGAAGTTCTGTCCGCACCAATGTCAAAATGTGTGACATTTACGAGTATGGGAAATAAAATAATAACTGAAGAATAAGTGCACATATTTCTGCTACTGTTGCTATTAAATGCTTCAGACAGTAAAACAAATATACCATGCTTGCAACATTCTCTCCCTGTCTTTAAAGCCAACCTTAAGTCTGCCTACTCCCTTTGATTTGAATCATGCTGTTAACTCTATGGTTTTTACCAGCTGTTATTTTTATCAATACTGTGATTTTGATATTTGATTCTATGTAAGGTGTCCCTGAGTGTCTCAGCAGGTGCCTATTAATAAAATTCATTACTAAAATATTTTGTTTATTCTCGTTATCAAAAAAAAGTGTTTCTTGTCCATGTTATTCCAGGTGTGTTAATTGCCTCACAGAAGAGCTAAGCCTGTTTAGATATTAACCCACAGCTAGATGTTAAACCTGTTTATTTACAAATTCGTGTCAATCAATTAAAAACTTAAAAAAAAAACCCGGCGGAGCAGGCATGCAGAATTTTATTTACAAAACGTATACGAACACTACGATCTACAAGAAGGCTAAATTTTCTACAAAGAGACTCAGAGAATGTGTTTTCCACACCACACATCACCCCTTTATTACTTGCTTTTCTATCACAATGCAAACATTGCTCAGTCTCTTCCTGCTGTACCCGCTACACTCCTGTAAAAGTGGGTAACAAAATCCGGGTCCCGCTCTTCCAGCATGTGTAGGAAATGATTCCTCTCCTCTTCTCCCCAAGACTCAAACCACTGCGTCCACAGGCGGAGCTGGCATTCAAAGATGTTTGGAAGTTTGTCTTTAACCTACACAGAGGAAGAAAGCGCCAGTTATTTACTAGAAATGGCACTCCTCTCCAGACCATGTGTTTGCAAGTTTGCATAAAGTACCTGGAGAGTGCTGAGTGAGTCTAGGAGGGTGCACACTTTCCCCGGCACAGCTTTCCCCAGAAGGTCCTGGAGAAACCGCTCCCTCTGAACGGGAGTCCAGCTCTGGAACCAGCTCAGGACACACCGCTGCTCCTGGAAGGTTACGTAGGAGATGGGTTCGGGCTCTCTAACTTGACCTGCACTCGGAGAAGCGCAGGACAGCTTCTCGAGGCTGGGAGGGCTGACAACACCTTGAGGAGCTGGGGGAAATTCACCCAAGCTGGGAGAAGGGAAACTTGCAGGGCACGTGAACACTGGGTTGGGAGAACTGCACAGGATGCCTGCAATTCCTTGATTGTCAGTGGGCTGGTGTTGACTTGAGCTTTGACTGACATAATTAAACCACGACATCTTAAACAGCTCAATAATCCATTTAGCTTAGCTTAACGTTTTGTTTAAGGAGCACAAACGGGCGGGCTCTGACTTTAAAGTCGCTATTGCTAGCTAATGACTACCTTTAAGATATGGAGTTGTGACTCCCCATTATTTTAAAACGTATATCAACTCACTACCGACATAGTCGAGGTGCAGAGAAGCCGAACGACAGTCACGTAAATCCAGAGCTGCTAACAGGAAGCGGGGTGCAGTTAACTAGTTGTGCTGTGTAGGAAGTCAGGTTTGCGCAGATGTTGCGCAAGATGTGGCGCATACAACATCTAAATATAAATACCATAATTTTTTAACGATGCCATTTCAAGTAATACATTTGGCTTATGAAAGTAATTTTGGTTTAGTCTGGGATTTAAAATATTTATAAACGTTTTATTTTATTTGATATTTGATTTCGGGGGGAAGTCGTCGGCGATGACGTGACGTCGATGAAGGCGTTGATCGTCGCTCTCGCTGGGAACTGACAAGAGGAACGGAAAATGGCGGACCTTGAAGACGTTACGCTGGACGGGAGACCGCTCCAGTCCCTTCGAGTAGCGGACTTAAAGGCCGCTCTCGAGGAGAGGGGGCTGTCGAAGAGCGGCCAGAAGAATACTCTCATCAAAAGACTCAAGGGGGTGAGTTTTACTGCGATATATGGTGCCACGGTCGCTGCAAGCTAACGTTAACGAAGAGACGGGCTGATGCTCTCTCGAGGGCCGACAACTGAGTATCGTTACTGCTGAGCGTAGTAGAGTTATCGAGGTTAAAGCTCATTCACCAGCTGTAAATGTCTTTATTTTGTCAGCGCTGTGGTTATGCAGTGCTGTGGCCCTGTAGAAATGTTCCAGCTACGGAAAGACTGGCACTTCACTCAACTTATCGGCTAATCCTAAACTGTGTCTCGGGTTGATGTTGTCCCGTTAGCTCGTTAGCTCTCCTGGCTAACGCTATGAGTTGATCAGTGGCCTTAGCGACTCGCTTGCTGCTGTGTATGCTGCTTTTAACGATGTGTACACTGCTCTTGTGAGTTTGTCCAGCAGATTAACATTTCACCACTTAGAGTTAATGAGAAAATCGACAACTTTTAGCGGCTAACCCGCAATTTTTAATTAACGTTCTTGCCGTTTTTGTTGGTAAACGCATTGGCTAGTTTTAGGAGTAGTTTCCCTCAAAATCTGCAGCAGGCCCGTGAGCTGCCGTTGGTCTTGAGCTTGTTTGTTTTTCATTGCGACAGATCGTCAAACCTTATTAAGATAGCTAAGGCGTTCTTTTCTTTTTGTTACTGGGCAGTCCCGATTGCATTATTTCACTGAGCCATCAACGCTTTACTGTTTGTTTGCGTTGCGTTTATATAACCTATATTACGCCAGACAGTGGTTCTTTTCTCACAAAACCCAGAATATGTTGATTATTTTAGTCGTAGTTACCAGCTAACGTACTTGCAAAGCTCATATAAAGCCATTGGGTTATTAACAGTTTCGTCCTACCAGCATCTGATAATGACAGTGACATTATAATGGACATAATAGCAATGTAAAAGATCAACTATGTCTACGTGCAAAGTAATAGATCATGAATAAAGTAGTAGTAATAGTGCATAGATTTATACAAGGTGTTTCATTGGTGATCAATGAAATTTAAGATAAGTTGATCACTGGTTGGTGTTTGACCACAGCTTTAGAGTAACCTTGTCAATTATTGTTTGAAAGACTCCCATGTCCTTTACCATCTTACATGGGAACATTGTTGCATATCATCCTCCTTCGTTTGTCAACAAGTTTTGTAGTTTCTCACAACCGCAGGCTTTCTAAAAAAAGTATCAAAGACAAAATTCTCCAAGTCTAACATTATTATAAAAGAGGAGCAGCGATGCTTAAGGATATTTGTTACATTTAGTACATAGAAACTCATATTTTGTCAAGGGCGGAAATATCAGCGGATGTGATAAAACATACTACTGAATAGAGTGCAGCTACAAGGTTGCCCATGAAAGAGTGTTCTCCTTTTTTCTAAAAACATCTCTTATCTCACTAACAGGCTCTCATGCTGGAGAACTTGCAGAGGACCTCCACAGCTCATATTGGACTACAGCCAAACTCTCAGGTGTGAATCTCAAAGATAGTTTTAGTTTCATATAAAAGGCTGAAGTGTCTTGATAAGTGATGGCCTTTTATGTATATATGGCAAACCGTGCATTTACACAACCTCATAAATGTCTGCAAAAAGTATGCGTTATTAGCCTTGAGATCTTGCATTGTATTTCAAAATTTCTCTGTGTGTTTAGATTGGTGAGGAAATGAGCCAGAACAGCTTTATAAAGCAGTATCTGGCTAAGCAACAGGAGCTACTGAGGCAGCGTCTGGAGAGAGAGGCTCGTGAAGCATATGATACAAATGGCAAGTTGTGTTGAATAAAATACTGTACACATTATGGATGGTTATTGTAAAATCTTGTGATTTTTATGTTTATTTCTCTTTTGTGAACAGAGCAAGAGGAGCACGCAGAAGTCAACAATAGTACACCGTGTCCTCCTCCAGCCCAGGTTAGATTGTACTTTCTCTTCTTAAGTGTTAGGTGTAAAAGTAACTTTCTGATTAAACTTGTGGGAGGGGATAATAAATAAATCTGCGCTCCCTTTCTGTTCTTGTCAGGATGTCACACCAGCATTACCTGAGCAGCACAAGCCAGCTGGCACCTCTGGTGAAGAGGGATTGTTGGGTGCGGTAAATGAGGGCCAAGCAAACAGAAACCAGGAGGCTGACATGTCCAGTCCACCTGCTTCTGGCTCTGTGCCCATGCGTGTTCCTGCCGCTGAGCAAAGGCCAGAGAGAGGCTCTGCATCAAGTGAAGTCCCAGGTGACAGCGACGATGACGACAGCGAGGATGGTGACGAGGACGGTGACGATGACGACTGGGACAGCAGCGCTCGAAGGAGAAACTTCAGAGAGCCAGCCAGGGGACCCACAACAAGGGAGAGGTCTGCAGCGTCCCGTCAACCGCAGCAGCAACACATCCCTTCTCTTTTGTCACCTCAACTCCGCCAGCCAACACCGCCTCCTTCCCCTCCACCAGAATTATCATTCCCTTTGCCTGACACCCCTAAACAGAGTCCACCTAGTCCAGATGTTCCCCAAGCCAGGCGTTCCCCCAGTTCTTCCAGCTCTGGTTCCTCCAGCGGTGGTAGCCGTAGTAGCAGCCCTGAGCCACAAAGGAGTGGACATGCTGAACGCAGGCCTGGCCCACTAACCCTTCTGGCACGTAAAATGGAGTCAGAAGGTGCTTTCTCCGGAGGAGGATGGCATGGCACTGATGGCGAAGCTGATAGGCAAGAAAGCAATTCATCCTCAGCTACATCATTTCCTGGCAGAGGACCACCAGAGAGCCTGGTATCTGCCACCACTCACACCTCTAACACTGCAGAGCATGTACCATTTCCAATAATGCCAGGCACCAATCAGGGTGTTACAGGAGCACATTCAGCTCATATTCAAGTACCTGTGAGTACACTTGAGCCCACTGTGCCTGACGAGAGGGTCAGAGAGATGGAGTCTGACCTAGAAAGACAAGAGAAGCTGAGAAAACGTCGGCAAGAACGTACCGCGGCGGAAGAGCGAGAGAGAGCCCTAGCACTGGAGCGAGAAAGAGAGCAAGCTTTGGAGAGAGAGAGGTTTGAGCAACAGCAGGCCTTAGAAAAGGAAGAGAGAGAGAAGGCTTTGCAGAAGGAGAAGGAACTTGCTCTAGAAAAAGAGAGACAGGAGAGGGAGCAAGCTTTGGCTAAAGAGAGGGAAGAGCAAATGAGGGCCTTGGAGCTTGAAAGGCAGGCTGAGCTTCAAAGACTTAAACTTCTGGAGCAAGAACGGCTGCAGAGAGAAAGGGAGGAGAGGGAAAAGCGCGAGAGAGAAGAAATGGAGAGAGCAGCTTTGGAGCGTGAGCGAGAAAGGCTAGAAAGAGAAAGAGCTCTGGAGGCTGAGAGGATTGAGAGAGAAGAGGCTCTGGAACGGGAAAGGTTAGAGAAGGAAAAGGCTTTGGAGCAGGAGAGGATAGAACGTGAAAAAGCCTTAGAGCAAGAGAGGATCGAGAGAGAAAAGGCTCTAGAGCTAGAAAGGTTGGAGAGGGAGAAGGCCTTGGAGTTGGAGAGAAGAGAAAGAGAAAAAGCTTTAGAGCTAGAAAGGCTGGAGAGGGAGAAGGCCTTGGAGTTAGAGCGAAGAGAAAGAGAACGAGTTGAAAGAGAGAAAGCTTTAGAGCGAGAGAGGATAGAGAGGGAAAAGGCCTTGGAACGAGAGAGGGTGGAAAAAGAGAGGGCAGAGAGACGGGCGGCTCTTGAACAAGAGAGAATTGAGAAAGAGAGAAAGGAAAAGCTAGAGAGAGCCCTACAGCAAGAAGAACTAGAAAGGGCAAGAAAAGAGATGGAGAGAGCTCTGGAGCAAGAAAGGGAAAAAGCTCTTGAACATGAAAGGCTGGAGAATGAGAAAGCAGTGCAGAAAGAAAAGGAGGAGCGGGAGAGGAAGCTGGAGCTGGAGAAAGATAAAACTGGGGTGGCTGAAAAGGAGAGTGAGAGTCACCTTTCTCCATCCAAATGTGGCCTTGAGGCTGGTCTCACACCCCTGCCAACTCCTCACCCCCTCTCCACAGGACCCGCTATAAACTCGTCAGCAGAGGCAGGAGACCGGGAACAAATCCGTGCTCCAGAACCCCAGAGCGAAGGCCAAGCAGCAGAGTGTAGTGCAACCATTTCAACAACATCTCTTTCACCACACTCGTCATTTAAAAAATTCCGGTTCGTAATGGACCGAGCACAACCCTCATCCACGTCTATGGTTATTAAGCGGCCCCGTACATTTTCTGATAGCCCACAGCCTCGCACCTCACCTGTCACTTATCCCACCACTGTTGGGAAAGGACAGTCTGAAGGACATAGGCCCTCAGTTAAACAGGAAGATTCAGAGCTACGGACAAATCAGCAGGTTGCTGCTGCACCACCGGGATCTGTGAGGATCCAGTCTGAGGAGGACACTGCTGTTATTACTGAAATGGGTCCCAAAGAAGAAAGAGCCACAAGGCTAGTGTTGGAGGATAAAGAACAGGCAGCTTCAGGAAAGACTGAACAGGTTGCCAAGGAGTCCATCAAAAAAGTAAAAGAAGCTGATGAAAGCAAGGGTTTGTCAAGCTCAGTGAGTGGAGCGGAGCAGAGAGGAAGAGATTCAAAGAAGGAAAGGATACGAACAAGACAAAGATCATCATCCGATTCCTCTTCCTCAGAATCGGACTCTGGGTCCTCATCTTCTCAATCATCCGGTTCATCCTCGTCCTCTCAAGAGAAAAAGAACTCCACCTCCAGAGTTACAAAGGTAAGAATAAATGATCTGTCTGTCTTTGGCATTAATGCAAAGTTGTATTAAATCTATATAAACCAAACTAAATTAGTTCCAAAATGAACATATTTGGATAAATATCCATCACCTTAATAATCAAGGTATAAAATCCACCTGTGTTTCCAGCAGTTGGACATATTCTGAATTTACATAGAGCTTGAACAATGGCACCATACACATTTGCAGTCATTAATCATGATTTGGCAATGGTATAGATGCTTGACTATTTGTGTCACACTTGTGACTATAAAGTTGTATAATATACCAATTTATTTATCTTAAATCATATTGTTGCTCAGATTGCATTTCTCCACAGTCTGCTGAATTCTTTATGCTAAAATTATTATTTTTTAATCATTTAAAAAGAAGGCTACTTTACTTTTAAAGGGATCTGTATTCATTGGGTGTAGTGGGCTCTCAGCAGAGTGGTATTAGTCTCTGATCACAGCAGGTGTTTTCTGGCAGTATCTCTGAATACAAGCGAGTGGGTACAATTTTTCAATTAAATTTTTTTTTATCTGTTAAAACTGTCTGGTTTGCGTTTAAGACGCTGTTGGCTATAGTTCCTTACCGTATTTTCACGACCATAAGACGCACTGTACTAAAAGGCGCAGTCTCAGTTATGTGTGCCATTACTGTATTTAACACACACATAAGGCACACTGGATTATAGGGCGCATACAAGTACCGTATGCGTATTTAAAAATAAAGCGGGAGCAAACCTGAGTTCGGTACCTTACTCACATTTCTATTACCGGTAATCATCATCATCAACAACACACAAGCATACAAGTGTGCGTATTTAAAAATAAAGCAGGAGCAAAACAAAGTTTGGTACTCACATTTTTATCATCAATCAAACCCATGGAAGTCCTCATCCTCTGTGTCTGCTAAATCTCCATCAAACATTCCAGGTTCACTTTCTTCACTGTCAGAGTCACTTTCCGTGCCGTGCGGCTCCTCGGAAATGATGCCGGCGTTTGCGAAAGCTCGAACAACAGTGCCAGCAGACATGTTAGCCCAAGCATCTACAATCCATTGGCAAATTGTGGCGTAACTCGCCCGGCGCTGCCTTCCACTCTTGGTGAAACTGTGGTCTCCATCGGTCATCCATCGCTCCCAGGCCGCTTGCAGCCTTACTTTGAATGGGCGGTTCACACCGATGTCCAGCGGTTGGAGTTCCTTTGTCAGGCCTCCCGGAATGACAGCAAGCTCACAGTTCATTTGTTTCACTAGTTTTTTCACATCGGCTGTGAGATGGGCACGCATAGAGTCACAGATTAAGAGCGATGGATGGTGATGCGTGGAAAAAAACCACCTGGTCTCCTTACATACACCTCCCTCAGCCAGTCTTTCATCATTTCCTCATCCATCCAGCCCTTTTCATTTGCCTTAATGATGATTCCTGCTGGAAACTTCTCTTTAGGCAAAGTCTTTCGCTTAAAAATCACCATAGGCGGCAAGCACAACAGTAAAAGAAGACTTTTCGTGCCCCGTTGTGCGTATCGCTACCGTGCTGGTCCCCTTCTTCTCCACAGTGTGACTCACCGGGATGTCAAAAGTGAGCGGGACCTCATCCATGTTTGTGATGTGGCTGGGCTGGATGTGTTTGTCGGCGATGTGTTTGCTGCAGTAGGAGCGGAAGAATGGCCAGCTTTTCATTATAATCCGCTGGAAGTTGCTGCGCTACCGTAGTCCTGGTCTGGATGGAAAAATGGCACAGTTTCATAAAACGAAAGCACCAGACGGACCTCCTTGGAAATGTTCAATGTTCATCTCTTCAGCTAGTGAAACTGCTTTTAGCCGAATGGTGACCGTCGAAACGTTTCTCCCGCTCGTTCTTTGCTCGATGATCCACCGCTCGAGTCTTTCCTCCAACTCAGGCCACCTCGCCTTATGTCCGTGGAAACTCAGCTGCGTTTTCTTGACCTGCCGGAGCTTGTTTTCTAGCTTCCTCCATTTGCGAACCATCGATTCGTTAATCTTAAATTCTCTCGCCGCTGCTCGATTTCCATGTTCCTCCGCGTAGCTGATGGCCTTCAGTTTAAACTGTGCTTCGTAAGCGTGTCTCTTTGCCATTTTCAGGGTTGTTAAAACAACGATGTCCTGCATAATGCACATACCTGTATAAAAGAACAGGTATGTGCGATTGTCCCGGTATATACAATCAACGCCCACACTTCACCCTTTAGCGCTCTCATGGTGTTCTCTACTACGTCCTCCTTACAACACACAGGGCGCACTGCGCTATAGGGCGTGCCGTACTTTTTGAAGAAAATCTAAGACTTTTAAGTGCGCCTTATGGTTGTGAAAATACGGTAGTTTAATACTTGTGGGGCTAAATCCAAAGTTGTGCTTGATGCATAAATAGCACAAGTCAGATGACAACATTTGTATCCCTGTACTAATTTTATCAATGTTTAATCATCATGTGAGTTGCAAGGTAAATAAGAATAAAAGGTAACTCAAGACTCTGTTGACTAGGCTAGTAACCAATTTTTATTTGGTATAGTATTGTTTTTTTTTCCTCGTCAAACTTTGTTTTTGCAAAAAGAAAAAAGAGAACTTCCATTTGCATCAGTCACAGCCTCACACCCATTTAGTAGTCTATTTGTTTATTTGCTGGGGTAACATTTCACTCTGTGTTGCCTGAAACATCACCATTAATGTGGATCAGTGTCTTAACAGTTAAACTACTCTCTCACCTGCTCAGTACAGTTAAGATACCTGGAGAATGCTAACCACTCCGTTGTGAATAGTAGCTTACTGCTTCTTCTCTAATAGTTTTCTATAGTTTGGAGCTGTGTCTTGGGTCATTGTCCTGTAAGGCAATTGGCTCCAGTCAAAGGCAATGGCTCACGCAGTTTTGCAAAAATGGAGTGATGGCTGTCCTTGTTCTACAACTATTTCATCCTGTGCAAAACTCTTATTTTACCAATGCCAGAGCACCCAAATTCATCCGTTTTATCCGTCATGACAGGTGGCATCAAACACCCCTTCAGGTTCTTTTACAGATGTTCTTCTGTGTTTTTTCTACCCAGTCACCTCAAACTTGGAACTTTATGTTCAAAAGCTATTCTTATTTTGTAATTCTTCAGTAGCTGTGCTTGCCTTGCCATCTTAATCTTTTCCTTTTATTGGCCGCTCTCAGATATAGCTTTACTTACCAACTCTAGTAATGATCAGCATCTTGGATTTCATTGATGTTGAGACTGTGGGTGGGGGTGGTTCTGCGGGCGGCTCTTTTTAGAGGCGCTGCTAATTTTGTTTAACAAACCAGCGACTCAGATGCCCTGTTCTGTACATCACTGGTACAATCTACAGACACAGTTTGTGTCTGTAGATTGTGAAAATATCATAAACATTCTTTCATGAAGTCGACAGTTTTTTCCTGTGTTTTTAGGGGGGATAACAGCCTTTATCAAGGACAGAGTTTTAAAATCAAGCTATTTCCTTTGCTGTTTTGCTATATAGTCCTCAATTCTGCTAACTCTGATAAAGCCAAAATTTTTGCTTCTTTAAAAAAAATGAAACAATAAATGAAAAATATTTTAGTTGTGCACACATGGTGAAATATTTTTTTTCCTGATAATTAATTATTAATACATGAAAAGGATTAACAACCACTGAGGAAAGCAGGTGGAATGGTGTCCATCTCTTTATACTGCCACGTATTATTAAAACTGTATATGTAACTGTGAGTACTTGCATGACTAGCCCTTAGCATAGTGGTTAGCATAAGTAGGTGCAGAACCCTTGGAAAAGGGCTTCCAAGGAGATTTTGCTAAATCAAATATATACAGAGCTATATCCTGTGACCCGTGCTGAATAAAGGAGCAGACAAAAGCAGCTAGCAATAAAGGTTGTCATTTATTGTTTCCATTGATTTTTAATGAATAGAATAAAAAGATTAATTGCCATTTACCATTTCTGAATAATCATATTATTATAAATCATATTATTTAAACTGAAAATGTTTATTTTTTAAAAAAAACTTACCATGCCTATTTTGTAAAAATAAATTCAAAGTAGACTTTATATATTTTTGCTCCAATGCAAAAAAAATAAAATAAAATATTGAACTGCTCTCTTTTTTTCCTTCAAGGAGGAGACATCTAAAAGAGATTCCTCAACACAGCACATGGCGGCTCAGCATGAGGATGTAAGGAAATCCTCAAAAACCTCTACCTGCAAAAGAGAGACGTCTGCAGAGAAGGCTAACACAACTGCAGATGGAGACAGTCACAACGTGGTAAGTTGCTTAGAATAAGTTCCCCAGAAGATTCACCTTGTCACAATATCTGTGTCAGAATGGGCAGGTCTTTGATAATAAAACAGATTTGCCATAAATGAACCACACTGTCTGCTCTTCATCTTATTCCCTGCCCTTTAAAATTCCCAGGCACAGTTTTCCAAAGCACCGACTGGAGAAGAAAAACATGGGAAGAGAACAGACAGTGAGGAAGAGGAGGAAAAGGACAAACAAAGGTCTGGTTTTCAGTCCCAGTTTTCTGAAACATATCTTATAGTTTGTTTGTGTGTCAGATTTACTCACTGGGATCAGTGTATTTGTGCTCTTATTAACATGCAAGTATAGAGGCTGTTAACAATGCTCAGTAACTATTTGACCTCTTCTGCATCATGAGTGGGGATTTGCCAGTTTGGCCCTGTTAGGTGGACGGTGGGCCAGTCTGTTCAAATTAGCTTTGTTGCTCTGTATACCACACAACACACCAAACACTAATGCACTCGCTGCTAATTGAAGAGCTACAGCAAAGGCTCAGTTGTTTAGGGGGTCTCTCTCCCTCCCCTCCCCCTCTTTATATTCAGTTTAAAACTGGTTGGAAAGATATATTTTATTTTTACTTTAGAAAGTGTTGTTGTCAGCTAGATTTATAGTTTTCATTTCACCAGTCTCTTCAGCTCCATTCCACATGTGCCCGTGTGACAGTAGATGCACTTGGAGTAAAGAGCTGGAAAGAAGAAGCTAGTGGGACAGTAAATGACAGCCGTAGGCGTCAGGCTGATGCCCACAGTAAGCTGAAATGAGACTAGTGCAGCTAATTAGGTGAATAACAAATATAAAATTTAAAAAATGTATTTTGGTCCTGAAGCCATTTATCATTTTATTTACAAATAAATATAGGAGTTGTATTTATTTCATGTATGATGTTCTCTGTACCTGAAGTGATGGCATTATAACTCTCAGAACTGGAAAAATTTGGACTGATAGTTCCTTAATTGTCAATACAGTCAAAATAAACACTTCTTGAAACATGAATTGATTACATTGCTGTGTAGAGGTTTTCCACTTTCTGAAAAAACAAACAATGGATAACAATGGCAAAGAAGTTTCATCTCCTATGATATATTATGTCAGTTAAGGTTCTTAAATCTAAACTAGGGACAAGACCAAATTTGTGAATAGCCTTGATCTTCAGCCCCTCCGGTGGCACTGGAGTAAAATCAGACTTGAGTCTGTAGAGGAAATTGCTGCCTGATTTTGTATGTCAAAAGTGTCAAGTAACACAGTTTGTCCCAAAATCCACAAATACAAATGAAAAGCATCATAGAAAAACAATATGATAGATGAGCAACATTGGGTAGGAAACCTTTTTCACATTCCAGTGCTTGCTTTACCCTTTTGTTTTACCTTCTTCTTAAGGACCTTTTAAGATGTCTCTTCTTATTACAAAAAAAATACAAAAACAAAATGATAGAAACATGTTTTTGGCAGATTTAAAAATAAAAAAAAAAGTTTAAAAAATTTAAAAAAAACAAATTGTAATAAAACACTGGATTAACTCCACATAGGTCAACACATTCACCACTCCAAACATACAAAGCTACTAATAAAATTACTGCCCCGGGGCCTCCTCCCGGTGGGACATGCCTGGAACACCTCACCCAGGAGGCGCCCAGGGGGCATCCTTGTCAGATGCCCGAACCACCTCAGCTGGCTCCTTTCGATGTGGAGCAGCAGCTGCTCTACTCTGAGCCCCTCCCGGATGGCCGAACCTCTCACCCTATCTCTAAGGGAGAGGCCAGCCACCCTTCGGAGGAAGCTCATTTCTGCCGCTTGTATCCGCGATCTCGTTCTTTCGGTCACTACCCACAGCTCGTGGCCATAGGTGAGGGTAGGGACGTAGATCGACCGGTAAATTGAGAGCTTCGCTTTTACACTCAGCTCCCTCTTCACCACGACGGACCGGTGCAGCGTCCGCATTACTGCAGCCGCAGCCCCAATCCGTCTGTCGATCTCCGGCTCCCTTCTCCCATCACTCGAGAACAAGACCCCGAGATACTTGAACTCCTCCACTTGGGGCAGGAACTCATCCCCGACCCGGAGTGGGCACTCCACCCTTTTCCGGCTGAGAACCATGGCCTCAGATTTGGAGGTGCTGATCCTCATTCCCGCTGCTTCACACTCGGCTGCGAACCGTTCCAGTGCGAGCTGGAGGCCCTCACCCGATGAAGCCAACAGAACCACATCGTCTGCAAAAATCAGAGATGAGATTCTGAGGCCACCAAAGCGAAAGCCCTCCGCCACTTGGCTGCGCCTAGAAATCCTGTCCATAAAAATTATGAACAGAACCGGAGACAAAGGGCAGCCCTGGCGGAGCCCATCACCCACCGGGAACGAGTCCGACTTATTGCCGGCAATGCGAACCAAGCTCTTGCAACGGTTATATAGGGATCGAATGGCCCGTAGCAATGGGCCAGACACCCCATATTCCCGCAACACCTCCCACAGGACGCCCCGAGGGACACGGTCGAATGCCTTCTCCAAGTCCACAAAACACATGTAGACTGGTTGGGCAAACTCCCATGCACCCTCAAGTTGTCAGAACGCAGCCTTATTCCAACATGGAATAAATTCATTTTCACACAATACCCCATTATGACAAAGTGGAAAAAAAAAAAGGTTGCTTGTAAATCTTGCAAATTTAATAATAACATTTTTTAACATGTAGATAAGTATTCACAGCCTTTGCTCAATATTTTGTTTAAGCACGTTTGGTAGCAATTATAGCGTCAAGTTTTGTTTTGTTTTGTTTTTTAAAGTAAGCTTGCTGCACCTATTTTTGGGCAGTTTCTCTCATTCTTCTTTGCAGATCCTCTAAAGCGCCATCAGATTAGGTGGGGCGTGTCAGTGCACAGACGTTTTTCAGATCTTTCCTGAGATGTACAAGCAGGTTCAAGTCTGGGTCTGGGTGGGCCATTCAAGGACATTTAGAGCGGTCACAAAGCCACTGTGTGGTTATCTTGGCTGTGTGCTTGGAGTCGTTGTCCAGTTGAAAGATGAATGTGATGAATCTGAAGATTAATCAGATGTACAGAATGCTCTGGAGCAGGTTATGAAGGATGTCTTTGTGCATTGCTGCGTTCATCATTCCTTGACCCTGACAAGGTCCCAGGTGTCAAAAAACATCCCAACAGCATGATGTTGCCACCACCATGCTTCACTGTAGGGATGGTAGTGGCCAGTTGATGAGTCATGCTTGGTTTCCTCCACACACAAGAGGCTTGGCTTTTTTTTCCCATCAGACCAGAGAATTTTGTTTCTCGTGGTCTGAGAGTCCTTCGGGTGCCTTTTGACAAACTCTAGGTGGGCCGTTTGTGCCTTTTACTGAGGAGTGGCTTCTGTCTAATTGCTGGAGTGGTGCTGAAATGGGTGTCCTCCTGGAAAGTTCTCCTCTCTCAACAGAGCAACACTGGAGCTCTGTCAGAGTGACCATCGGGTTCTTGGTCACCTTCCTGACTAAGACCCTTTTACCCTAATTGCTCAGATCGGCTGGGTGGCCAGCTCTAGGAAGAGACCTGGTGGTTCCAAACTTTTTCCATTTACAGATTATGCATAATCACTTATTAGCATCAGTCTTTGATTAACTCTTATTTACAGATATGCATTTTTCTTTCTATTGCAGCATGCAGATAACTAAAGAATATTTTTTAACATAACAACGACATAATTGTAACTATAATGTAATTACTAAATTAAGTAAGAAGTAAGTAAGATGTTAATGCTAGTACTCTAGGCAGTTTTTATTGTAAGTTTCATCAAGATGGATGATCAGTGTAAAAGAGAGGCCTACGATCATCATAGTAAGATTTCAGGTTGTTTCTCCTACAAAATATAATGTAGCTTTATTGTGCTTAAACTGTCCTTTAGGCGCAAAGCTAGTGAAATGACCGAAAGCTTCTTTTTTTTTTTCTTCTTTTTTTAAATCTCATTATTTCATAAATATTTCTACTTAAAAAAACAACAACTCCTCAATGGTAAGAGTGGAGTAATTATTTTGCACATCGCTATTTACATATTGTGGAAAAAGCACGTGAAAAAAAGCCAGTTCCGTGGACATTGTTTTATGAAATGACATACTGATGTGTTCACTTTAACGCTTCCATGATGTCATTATAATGAAGACCTGATAAAAACGGTGTAAGAAAAAAGGCTGGGCATTGAATTTCCCATCAGGCGATTGATGAGACTACCTTAAATCCGGCGTGCTAGAAAAGATGTGGGTCCTTTTTCTTTTTTTTAATACAAGATCTTTTTTTTCTTTATTCGTTGCAACATGGCTGTGCTCAGTCGGCGGGTTTAGCAGCCTATGCCGGCCTTTGGCTCTCCACACCGCGGCTCAGCTAGACAGCAGGCGACACTTTGTCCGCTGCAGGTTCCGGTTGACAGCCGCTGCGGTCATGGACGTATTCACAGAGGAGTAGTGTTCGGAGAGAGGAAGACAGCAGGGAGGGAAGAGAAGCGGTTCGTTGCGACGCAGTCGTTTTAACGGCAGTCGCAGTCTGTGTGCTGCGTGTGGAGCGAGCACGGCGTGGTCTCAGTGGTGTGAAGTTCCCCAAGTTGATTTCAGTCGCAATGAGTGGACTTGTTCGCGTGTGCTTTCACGAGGATGGTGTGACGACGTGAGGCGTACGCTCATTCGTCAGGTACCGTGTAGCTGTGGTGCGTGTCGGATCTGGACGGGCGCAGCTTGGCTAAATAAGGAGTGTGGTAACTGCGTTTAATTTCTGTTTTATTTTTCTCGCCTCGGCTCAGTTCTTTAACCCTGAGGGGGACGATAGCAGCGCATTTGATGTGGTCACCAACGTGTGATGCGGTGAAGGCGCAGTAATTTTAGCATCTGCTGGTTGCTGTTTGTGCATTACATTGGAGTGGGTCCACTTGCTGAGATTTTAACGCGTTTTTATGCTGTGTTGTGGTTCCTTGACACGTGTTTGAGAAAACGTGAATTTTTGAATTATGATTGCAGTGTAATGACATTTAAAGGACTAAAGTATTAATTTTGCATGCACTGCCCAGCTACTGGCAATATTTACAAAGGCATATCCATTTTAAATCAGTTTTAATTTAGGAATCAATTAAGTTTCTGATTTTAATCCTTTTGTTCCTATTGCTAGGAATATTTTTAATACTTTAGATTTGACATGTTTTGTTTTTGTTAAACATTTACATAGTGTTTTGATTGCTTGTGTTAAGCTATTAATTTAATATTTTTAACATCTTATGAGTGAGTTTTCTTTCTTCATACTGATGATCTTTTTTCCTTTTTTACCTCTTTTCTTTGATGTGTATTTATTTTTTAACAATATGCAGGCAGATGAAGGAGACTACCATGGCAGATCCAGAGAAATTTCAAGAAACCAGTGAGGAGGTAAGGCACCTGGAGAATCCCAAATCATTTCAGTTCTGAAGGCTTTCATTAATTAAGTACTTTGCAGGGGAGATGCAGTTTTTAGGGATGTTCCTCGTGACTAATTTACTAGTTGTTTAAACAAGAGAGAAAGCTTAGCTATTCATCTACTTGAAAAGACAGAAAACTCTGACTATATTAAAAACTGGACACAAATTGATCGACAAATTTCAACATTGGCCCAAAAAGTATTGCATGTGTGTTTGTGGAACTATATGAACTATAGTATGAACTGTAACAATGTCCTGCACCACAGTGCAGTGTGATTACTCGGGGGTTTAGTTCCAGTTTATTCTGACACAAACGATATTTATTTATTTTTAAACAGTGCTGAAGAACAGCGATGGTTCGCTGTCTCGGCTGTCATCGGTTTACTTTCCCCCCCTCGCTCGTTACTTTCCTCCACAGAGATAGGTAGAGAGACGGAGGCATAGCTGGTGTTAGCGCTGCAGGCAACATGAGTGGCCAGCAGCATCTTTGAAATGGCAACTGCTGTTGTATAGTAATAACATAATAATACATTTAACTGGCAGCCGTGTTTAAACGTCTAGTCAATTAGTCACAGGCATCCATAATAGTTAGATTTTTTTTAGTGCACTTTTTGAATTATTCCTAGTTTTTAAACATGTTACATTTTACTGTAAGTATTTAGATTTTTGTTTTGTTTTTAAACAACAAAGGGTCATTAGAAGGTTTAATGGGCCATTTTCAAACTTGGTAGTATGTTAACTTTGGGTACTGTCATAGGAACAAACAGCAAGGGTGTTTTCTCACTGTGGCTGATGTTTAAACCCCAAATGATTCCTTTGTTATAAAGGTGCTCATGCTTCTTCCATTGCCCCTATTGGTACCTGCGTACTACCTCTGGCACTACTGCTACTGCTGCACCTGTTCCACTGTCCCCAAGAATCCAGAGTTGACCACAGATAAGCCCCAAAGTCTGCACTACAGAGGGACACCCCTGGCAACAAAGTCTGCCTCATTTTCACCGATATGGCTGACAGAAACTATTAATTGGACCAGAAGTTTTAAAAAGGGGGTTGGCTAGTCAATGTTGCCCACATCTTGCAGCCTGATTTTTACCAATCTAGCCCCACACCCTTAAAGTCTACATCGAGAGCATGAGGAAAGAAGCTTGCTCACTTAAGCCAAGTTCAAGGCTGCTGTGAACAAGTTTAAAGAAGTTTTTTTTTTTTTTTAAATTATTATTATCAAAGACATTTTTTTAAATCTCATAACGATCAAAGAAAGTGGGCATTGTGGATTATGACCTGGAGAATGGTATGAAGGACATTTCGAGTTTTTGTGTATCTGTTGGAAGAGAGATCTGCTGCTTGGACACTTTTTCAGATAGCTTAAAGCAAATATCTGGACTGCAAGAGGCTGGGAATGTTTTCTCCTGAAAAAGGACTTGCCATTTGTTGCCAGAGTTTTGCTACTATGTGACTGCTTCTTAAATACAGCAGAACTTTTAAGTCAAACTTATGGAGTTGTTCCACAGTGACTGTTGACAGCATTCATTATCTGGTCTCAATTTAAGTGGACTGATCACTCTCTTCTGCCAGTATAAAAGTCTGCCACATCTTTAAAAGGACTAACATCTGAAGACGACTGCTTTGGCCAAGAACATTTGAAAGCCCAAACCCAAATGAACTATTGAGCCCAACCTACCAGCCAGCAAGATTTCAGATTTTCATCCAGCCACCATTGATTGGACCTTTTGTTCCCTAAATACAGTACATGCAGTCGTGATTGGGCCATATCCAAAACAGTAAGGATCAGGTGTCAGGGAATAAGTAGATGTTTACTCAGTGCTGTATTTCATAGCTTATTTTGAATGTGTTTAATATTCATTTATATTCTTTTTAATCACTGATGGAGAATGAGCTTTGGATTTTTAATTGTGCCTCCTGCAGTTTAACAAAAATATTTCTAAACCCCTATTTGGTGATCTTGTGTATTAGTTTACTTTTAGCTGACTAAAGTAGTTAAATATTAGTTTTGTTGAACTAGTTGGAGTTTGTCTACAAACATTTAAAAAAACAAAACATTTTAGTGCTTAAATTGAAACATTACAGTTTCCACTAGGTCCTTGTTTTTTGTTTTTTGGGTTTTTTTGTTGGGGGGGGGGGGGGCTTGTTTTGGGTTTTGTTTTTTTTGTTTGTTTGTTTTTTTGTTTTGTTTTTTTAGAAAGTTCAAGTTTGAGAAGTTCAATCTTTAAAAGTAAGAAATATTTTCAAAAATCTACAGGTGTAGAGCTTCAAAAGTTAGGAGAACACATCATAAACATAAACAAACGCAACATAGCTTGCCATCAATAAACAACGAGTTTTAAGGCGAGGTGTTGTTTTCAGTTCTCTTTACCCACTTCTTGTTTTTATTCCACATTTTCTTCAACTTGACCATTTGTCTCATTCCATGGTGTCGGCGTCTCACCTCTCCCATGTATATCGGGTTGTTTCTATCTTCTTGTGTTTCAGAAATCAAAGGCCTTCTCAGCTCGTAAGATCTCTCTTAGCAGTGAGTACAACCTTTCACCTTGTTCCATTCTTTACTAACATTTGATTATTCATGTTGATATTGTGGCTTTTTCTCCTCATATTTGTATTAATCTAGTTTACAAATATTTTTGATAGGGGAGGTGCAGCATTGATACGCTAAGGTTTGAGAACACAGCAGCGTTAAAAAATTCTTAAATTTGGTTATTCAACAGAATATATAATTCAGTAATCATTCAAAAGACCATTGTCTGTATATATTTCCATTTGATGTGTTGCATAAACGTCGAGCATTGTATTGATTCCATTACTTCCCAGGCAGTAAATCATCCCCGGGCACCAGCAGTGCAGAGGGTGAACAGGAGTCTGGGACAGTGGCTGGTCGCAAGAGGAGGTGGGGCTCCAGCACAGCTGTCACTGCCAAGAAACCTTCCATCAGCATCACCACTGACTCACTCAAGGTATTTGCAGCAAAGCATAATTTGTTTTACATTGTAGTTAACAGTAATTCTCACAGATGCATTGTAAACACTGTCTCGTAGAAAGCTTAACCATGTTGTTTCCTCACGCTTTGCCTGTAGTCTCTGATCCCAGACATCAGGCCATGTCTAGGACAGGAAGCAGTAGTTGACTTGCATCCAGAGGAAGCTGTCCTCTCTGGGGCTGATGATGAAGACAGGGAGCGCTCTGATCAGGACCTTCAGATTAGACGCACAGTTACACAGGTTACTGTTGTTAGTGTTTAACTACTGATTAACCTGACGCTAGTATCTTCACTTTCATTAAGTGTAAAGTGGTCTTTAAGATTGTTCGAGGTTATCTCTCAGTTGATTGCTTGGTGTGATATCTTGTATTTAAGGTGGTGCATTCAGAAAGCCAGGAGAATGGGCAAAGAGAAGCAAAGAGGAGCAGGCAAGAGGAGGCAGAGGAAGATGATCTACAGGTAGACCAAGAAAGGACAAAGGCTCATGAAGAGCAGATGGATACCTCTATTCCTGTAGCTGTTGAAACTCATTCACCAACACATACCAGCCATGATGTAGAAATTAACACTGGTAAGATATCCACCGTAAGATGGCTTCTCTGCAGAAATAAATTCATCAGAATTAATTAATGTATTCCTGAAATCTAATTTTCATATTACCTTATGTTTAAGAAAGTCAAATGGGTGCATAACAGAAAGGCTGACAGAAAGACTTGAATGATTCTTTATATGGATTCAAACAACTATTTTCAGTCGGTGCTGATTTCTGGCATGCCATCTTGGGTGTAGCAATTCAAATAGTTTAATTATTTGACACTTGATACAGATCTCTTGTCTCGGTAAAGGAAAATATGTTCTATTATAAGAACTACAAAGACAGTGATGTAATGGAGACACTTTGCTCACTGTTTTTCATTCTAGTGACCCCCAGCGACACCCTCATCCGTCGCTCCATCAGCCAGCAGAAAACAAGTGTTTCCATCACAATTGATGACCCTGTTCGCACGGCCAAGCAGCCCTCACCACCTCGCGGAAAAGTCTCCACTATTGTTCACATCTGCAACCTGGTGAGAGAATAGGACCCATGAACAAACCCATGTTGGGCTCAAATTTCTAAAATATGAGCTATAGGACATGGATTTTTGTTTTCTTTCTTTTGGGGTTGATTTTAGATTTTTATTTTTTTTATTTCATTTTTTTTGTTGAGGTATAAAACTTCCACAATATATTGTCTTCTACTGTCATAGACCCAGTTAATTTATAATAAATCAAAACAATTAAGTTAAAAGAATAATTGTATGGAAAGGTTTCAGTTTTTCCTCTTGTAATCTTGCTGACTTCTTATTGCATGTGTTTTTATTTAATTGTTCCACTGTGTTTATCTTGTTTGCAGTGTGTAAATTGTTAGTAGTCGCACTTTATTCATATTGTAATGGAGTCTGTGACACTGTTCAGGTGAGGCCATTCACTCTGGGACAGCTTAAGGAACTGCTCAGCAGAACTGGCAGTCTGATGGAGGAGGGCTTCTGGATTGACAAAATCAAGTCCCACTGCTATGTCACTGTAAGTTATTAAAAGCATTGAGTTATATATCTGCAGCTCAGACTGCTTTTAGACATTGGAAGTATTTTCTCTCTCTCACGGGTCCTCCACTATACTTTCCGTGTCTAGTATTCAAGTGTAGAGGAGGCAGTCGCCACACGAGCAGCTCTTCATGGCGTGAAATGGCCACAGAGCAACCCAAAAGTTCTCACTGTTGACTTCTGCCAGCAGGATGAAGTAAGAATATTTTTGTTTTGAGTTTTTTTTTCCCCTCCATAAGTGTTAAATGTTTGGCTATCTATAATCTGAACATGTCTCTGCCCTGTAGTTGGACTTCCACAAAGGTTTGGGTGCAGGTGACAAACCTGGAGCAGAGGAACATGGTCCTGGCTCCGGCCGTGGTCGAACATCGGGCTTGCCCTCTCTCCTTCCTGAGCGAGATCAGTGGGCTGAACGGGAACGCGAAATGGAACGCAGGGAGCGAGCTCGAGCAGAGCGGGAGTGGGATCGCGACAAGGTTAGAGAGTTTGGAAAACACGGAGAAGAGAAGGAGGGAGGTCCTCGAAGGTCGCGATCAAGAGAGAGGCGACGCAAGGAGAGGGGAAAGAGCAAGGAGAAGAAAGGTAAGACGTGGATTTAGACTCAGTGTACCGGGTCCGCTGCCAGAGGCCTGTTCTCTTGTCTAATGTTGTGTGTATTCTCTGTCAGAGAAAATAGCCGAGGATCCCCCTGCAAAGCTGCTTGATGACTTGTTCCGCAAGACTAAAGCTGCCCCTTGCATATACTGGCTTCCACTTACAGATGAACAGGTGATGAAACAAACCACTTCATACCTTTTGGGGGTTTTGGGTTTTTTTTTTTTAAAGCATTTTTTTTTTTACATTTTCATTGTAGTTTGCCCAGCGGGAAGCTGCCAGAGCAGAACGGGCAAAAGAACGTGAGAAACGGCGAAAGGAGCAAGAAGAGGAGGAGAAAAAAAGGGAAGAGGAGCGCAAGGAGAGGGTGAAAACTGGAGGAGGCACAACAGAACGCAGTGAGGGTGAGAAAGACAAGGACAGAGAGAGAGACAGAGGTCGAGATAGAGACAGGGAGAGAGAGAGGGAAAGGGAGAACGACAAACGCAGGGATGGCTACCGTAGGCCCGGGGGCAGCGGGGCGGGCGGAGGCCGACGCTCACGCAGCCGCAGCGAACCACGAGAAAGGCGGCGCTAATGGCCAATCAACTGATGGAACTGTCCTAGAGACCGCCCTCCTCCATTTGCCTTTCACTACATGTACTTTGTTACAACTAAGACCCAACAGAGGACCAACCGATGTCGCTACCATCTCTCAAATTGTCATCTTCTTTTTTTATTTTAAAGCACATTTACACCTACACACATTTATGCTTTAAGGGGACCATGATCTTTTTTTTTGCAGTGTTTTTCAGAGCGCTGTCCGTGGCGTTACTGTCAAGGTTTGATATTTTTCTTTCTACATTTGCCTCTTTTTCTTCAGTTTTTGTCTTGACAGCATAGCTGTTTGACTCACTGGGTAATTTTGATTATTTAGCCCAACGTGCCCCATTTGCCTCATAGTGTGGGTGCCAATTATGATTTGCAGTCACTTGTTGTCGCCTCTGTGTTTAACAATTTGGATGAGGAATCCTTTTGTTGCTGCATGTAGTACAAGGCTCCTCCTGCCAGTCCTGCCTAAAGAGAAGACTCGGTCCTCTGCAGAGAGGACTGCATAAATCAGACAATACTGAAATAGGTGTGTTTGGCTTTTTGTACAGACTTAAGATTACTTCAAATCAAGTCTTTAAATGAGGCAGCTCTGGGGTATTTTTAAACAAGCGTGGAATAACTACTAAGGCAATGCAGTGTTCCTCTGTCTCTGTTAAGAGATGAGTTTATTCTCTGTGGGAGAGAATCTGTCTGTCACAGCTGACACAGATTATGTTTATGTCCTTATTGATTCTCCTCTTCTCCCTTTCCTCCTCTTCCTCCAGTACTCTGACCCTGTAGTCAGTACAGGCCTGAGAGGGGAGGTTGCATTATGAGTTTTCTCACCAATGGTTTTAATTTTTTTTTTTTTTTTTTTTTTTTTTTTTTTGTATCTTTATCATTTACAAAGATTTGTTTTTTGTTTTTTTGTTTTTGTTTTTTTAATTTCTTCTTGAGTACGCCTATCAGTGGTGAATGTACAAATAATAAAAATTGAAGTTTGAAACGACTGTGACGTTTCTTTCCGCTCTCCATGCTGATTGAGTTTGAAGTCAATTTTGTTTCTCTGTGATAACAGTTAAAAGTACTGTAGAGATGCAATACTAGGAATATGTGACTTCAGCAGTTATCCTTGGAATCCACAAGGTGTCAGTCACACCATGCTGTGGCTCAACTCATGTATCACTTTGGAATGAGAATGATCTAATGCTATTGGGTGACTCAGATTATTAACTTTTACCTGCTTTCTTAGTTGTTACAGTTTACTCAATTTACTAGCTGTCTTTGTGTCGCCCTGACTTTCTTTGTCTTTATTGTAAATGTGTCCACATTTCCCCTCTTCAGTTGCTTTGTGCCATCTCTCTGGGTCTTGACGTTTATCCTGCAGAGCTCAGCACTGCTCCTATGTAATTACAGCCTTATGGTCGCTGAGCATAACATTTTTTTGCCCTGATACAACTCAGTGTGGCCGGACTCTGCGAGGACCAGCAAATCGCTTGAGCTGGCATCTCTGGCAGACCAAGAGCAAAGTTCTAACTGGGGCAGCAAAGCTGGATTGACAAAGAGTTTCATCTGTAATGATGACATTTCACTTTTCAAATTCCACCCCTCTCTCACACAAGACAGCTCATAAACATCAAACAGTTCAGTATATAGTAGTTTATATTTAAGTATAATGACATTTTATTTACGTGGCACTTGCATAGTCTTACTGATCACTCAAAGCACTTATGACTGCAGGTTGGATATTTAACCATCCATTCACACAGCAACTTCTAAATCATTTACAGATCATCCTTGTCCAATTTGGAATCTCCACTTAATCTAACATGCATGTGTTTGGATTGTGGGAGAACCCCCACACAGACACAGGGTGAACATGCAAACTCCACACAGAATGGCCTCAGCTGGGCTTCAAACTAGGAGCTTCACATCACCATACCAGCTCAGGGGTGGGTCTGCAGTACTGGCCAAAATATAAAAAAAAATGTCAGCCTTTTGAACCCTGGATTAAATAATATACTGTATTTTTCGCACCATAAGGTGAACTTAAAATCCTTTAATTTTCTGGAAAAAAATAATCGACAGTGCTTTTTTAATCCGGTGGCCATATGTATGAATTCTGGTTGTGCTTACTGACCTCGAACCAATTTTATGTGGTGGTACACTCAAAAATCTGTCAAAAAATGTTTTAGTACGACTTTGGTAAGCAATTATAGTTTGATAGGGCTTTGGAGTTGATTGTCGGAGCATTACGGCTACCGTAGTCAGGAGCCTCGCGGAGTGATCTGGGCAGTGCCAACTTAGCGACTTTGTCGCTATATTTAGCGAGTTTTCAGACCCCCTCAGCTACCAGCAACAAATCTGGCGACTTTTTCTGGTGTTATTGGAGACTTATTTATGACGACTTTTTGACGTGAAAGCGCATATCGCTTTTACTCTCAACAAGCAACGGGTGCTGCCATGGGCACTTCGCCCGTTCCAAAGCGCTCACGGGCAGAGCGCTATCAGGGCAGAAGATGTTCAAACCTATGCGTCCAAACAGCAAATGAATCGCGCATGAGCGAAGCCGCTGCTTCCGCACTGACTGTAACGCAGTCAGTTCTTCTTTTACTCTTATGCTGTTTTGTGGATCACAAGGTTTAAACGCTAACAAAACGCTTGGACACTGCTAGCACGGGCGGCCACAGAAACGCAAAGCAGGAGCTGAAGCATAACTGAATATGTTTCCAAACCAACTTCATTCTAAGCCAAAGACTAGAAAATATGGTGTAGGTCTCCCCTGCAGAATTGGTCTTTCCTTCGTCAGGAGCACGTGCTGGACTTTTCAAATCACGGGCAAACAGTATCCCAGATTCTTGATTTTTAGTTCACAAACACTTGTTGTAATGACTAACTACTGACATTTTGGAGAAGTTAGCTCTTTATACAGTAAAGTTACAGTGGGATACAAATAATATCAGGCTGATCCTGCCACAATTTGTTCCCTCAAATCACGTGCAAACATTGTCCCATAGTTGTTTATGTTTTTAAACCCATTTTGCAAAGAGAGGCATTTTTTTGAAAAATGTATTGATAGCAATGTTGAATATTATTACACAGGAAAAAAAACAAACAACTACACGTAAATAGCCTCTGCCTTTCTAAAGAGGGACAGTAACTGCGTGTGTATATGTAAGCGTGTAAAAACTGAAGATAGTCAGATTAACAGTAACAGTATTTCGTCTCTATCTGTCATTCTGCAATTCCTCTCATGTAAGCAATAACGTGGCGCACTGCCTGTTAAAAAAGGCATACCTTTGACGTTGCATGACGAACTCTGTATTTCTCGTCCAAACGTAAACGCAAAAAAAGAGTTTTAAAGAAATCTCAGTTTTCGGTGATTCGAAACGCCGTTTATGTGTGGACAAACAGCTGGGTTTTCAAAAATACCCGTGCAGACGTAGCATAAAAGAGTTAGTAGTTTATTTTATTACTACCTGTCATTTATTGCAGATTACTTGTATTTGCTTAATTGTTTACTAAATGTTTGAGGTGTGAAATAAACCGCAAACGAGCAAAATATGGATTTGTGTGGTTGGAGAATGTGTGCGTGTGCGAACATTTTTCCTGTAAAACAAAGGGGGGCCTAGCAAAAAAAGTTTGGGAACCACTGGTGACAAATTATGCAAATTAGGCGATGATGTCATTTAGCAACTTTTAGGACAACCAATAGCGATTTTCCTTACTGAGGCGTTGGCAACACTGGATCTGGGTCCAAAACTCTGTCTGATTCAGGTCCCAAAGTCAAATGAGCACTGCGGTGTCACTGAGCGTTAGAAACTGTCTAAATTCTGTCATCTTTAATAAAATGATTAGCGTTGCTCCTTTACCAGGTGTAACAATTAAGTTTAACATCCAGGCATCTATGAAAACAGAATCTATTAAATTTAACGGAGTTAGAAGTTAGCAGGAAGTTAGCTCGCTAGTTTACACCTAAACATGATATACCATGTTCTGACCGAGAGATTTCTGAAAAAATTAAAACCTACAGCTCTGCTATCACTTCCAACATAAATGAAGACAGAAAACTAAACAGCAGTTACTTTTCTGGGGTTACTGAAGTTGGACTAGCTGGTATATAATGATGTGCTACGTGATCGCTAGCAACACAGCTATGTTAGCATAACATAAACAGTGCAACTGGAGGATGAATGTTAACTTTTTTCCACTCGATAAAAGTTAATGTGAGGGTTCCCGATGGTCAGGGACAAATACAATCGCATGGCAGGATGCTGTAAACGGATTAAAGGTCAGTCAGGAGAACAACTGAGATAATCCATTCACAATACAACGCTAGTCATCAATATACTGCAACAACATGGGAATAGAGTCGCTGCCAGAGAGTTCAGCATTAATGAATCAGTGGTACGCAGTGTTGGGTAAGTTACTTTAAATTAGTAACTTAGTTACATTACTAGTTACTTCTATCAAAAGTAACTCAGTTACTTCAAGTTACTCGTTACTTTCAGAGTAACTAGTTACTAGGGAAAGTAACTTTGGTTTTACTCAGAATTCTCTTGTTAATGTGTTGCTTCCGTAACTGGATACCCAGCAAGATTGCCAGTCTTCTAGCTTGCTTACTTGCCACAAGTGCACTGTGCCACCTACCAATAGAAAGGAAAAAATAATGTGCACATTTCCACGAGAGAAATCCCACACCTGATTCTATCCTAGCCTGCTTTTTACATCCAACACAAAAACTGCAGTTGTGGTGCTTTCGATTGTACTCAGAACTCGGAAATTCTGCCTTCTGAATAGGAAGATGTAGGTAACACCAGACGAGATGAGCTGCATACAGAGCTGGACTGGGACAAAAAAATAGTCCCGGGCATTTTGACTAGAGACCGGCTCGCCATTATAGGAAAAATCATAAAGCCTTTGAATGAAAATAAACACTGTTGTGACAGTGATGTACACTGTTCTGATGGTATATATGTATTAATCTATCAATTGTTTGTTGTAAGACTCAGATAATTATTTTTTTTTAAAGTGAGACATTTTAAATGAGAATAAGAAAGTATTTCCTTGTGCCCCCCTTTCCCTTTTAATGCCCTACATGGACCCCTGGCAACACTTTGCTAGACCCGCCCCTGCACAGTTACCAGCTGTCAGCTACTTAGAAAAGGATCCTGGTGTTATTTGTCTCCCAGAAACAGTTCATAACTTCCCTTCAACTCATTCATGTTAACTAAAAGGTAAACCTGTTTCTCCATCACCTGTTCAGCTCTGATGATCCAGTAAGGACATCTCCTGGTTTCATCTTCATGTTTCCCTCTCACCACATAACCAAACTGATATCATGACCAGCAGCTTTTACAGCTGTGGCTCCAGCAAACATCAGCTGATACTAGAAATTAATATTAAATAAAATCTAACAACAGCTGATCAAGCTTAAACGTGCTGCTGTTGTTTACCGCGACATCCGCTGGTTTCCTCTTTCTGGCGCAAAGTGGGCGATAAAAAAACAAGAGAGAAAAGCCAATCAGCTGATCATTGATCAGTTTCATGATTGAAGTAGAAACAGGAGAGGGAGGGTGAGAGGATGAGAGAAGAAGAGGCAGCTGTGCAGCGTAAACACAGAATAACTCCAGCTTTGTGTCTTTTTCATTGTAGCTGAAGTCCGGGACAAACTGTGTTCCTTTTCACCTAAATACGAAACGCATGATATTTTCTCTGAATACAAGACGATTCCGTTTTTTACGGGACGGTTGGCAACTCTAATAATTAACCGTATGAACAAAATAAAGTTCAACATCATTAACTTCATAGCACCCACCCAGCTGTATAGAAAGTCCGTCATGCGAGCTAGCACGCAGTACGA